TCGGCCCCCGTCGCTCGCTGCACATCCACGGTGCCGCTATCAGGCCCTCGGCCAACACATCATCAGCGCGCTGTGACGCAGGAGCTAACGGTCACACTGACAAGACAAAGCCTGCCCAAAGTAGTACCGATAACACATACTGAGGCAGTAATCTAGTTTAGGGAAGGTATTTGGAAAGCAATTTAGACAGGAAAAAACAATTATAGATCCGATTGTGCAGCTACTTTTCTGCTGACACAATATTCTGAGGTGCTGGCCCAGCTGTCGTTGTGCTGAACTGGCAGAATACGAGCAGGAAATGGGAATTCAGCACAGAGCTGAAGCCTGGCTGTCTTTTACTCTTCCTGCCGTCCCGTGAGGTACCATGGAAATATAAACCAAAGGGCCTGAACGGCCCCCGCAGCACTGATAAAGTGATTTGTTTATTACAGTAGCAAACAGGATTCAAAGTCAATTACAAGTAAAAAAGACGGGAGACAGAGGAGCTCGAAGTGTCTTGTAAACACGACAAATGGAGCGCTCATAAAATGCCCGGCTTTTTCACAGCTTGAAGGAGACCCCCCCTCCCCCCCCTCCCCTCGCAAAGTTAACCGCTCCCCCGTCTCCTGAAGAGAGACTTTACGAGCGGCGTCAGAGCCCGGCGGAGGTGTGGCGGCGCAGAGCAAGTGTCTGGTCACACAGAGCGAGTCGGGGGGGCGACGCGGGGCCGAGCAAGATCCAGGACGTTAAGGGCCAAACTACAACATTCAAGGGGATTTACTATACAGCCCCTTCCAGTGCTTCAACGAGCATCATCGACGCAGGAAGCTGGAGCGGCCTCTGCTTCCTCCATGGCGGGCGCTCTATCGCTGAACCTGACCTTTGACTCCGTGCGGGGAAACTGGAAGGAACAGTACCTCTATTGGAAGGATATATTAAGTAGCGTCTACTTGCCGGGGCAGAGAGAAGGGAGTGAGGTATCGCCACCAGTCTTTGACGGGCAGGTGGTACATCAGAGCGCTCATCTTTCTTTTAAAAAGTGCGTCCGTCCGTCCGTCCCACTCCACGCCAGCGGGCAACGCGCGAAACGGAAGCAGCTGTCGGAGGAGGGAAGCGAGGAGCGGGGCTCGGGATGAGTAGCGTGGCAGTGGCAAGAGGGAGATCACAGCGGGGCCCACGAACACCGCGCCAGGTCCATTATGTTTGTCCTCTTATTCGAGAGCAATAAGACAGAAAAAGACAATCCAGTCAGTTCAACGTTGACGGAGGCAGCTGCTGGATCGAAACATCTGGGCTCATGCTACACATCTGTCGTCCCCGTAACCAGATTTCAACTTTTATAACTTATTTAAACGATCTTTCATCATCATTGTCTTCCACCTCGTTATAAAGGGCAGCAGGAAGCCGGCTGGTGCAAAGTAAAACTTCTAGCAGATCAAGAGTGGTGCGAGCTACACGGACCCCCCCCCCCCCAGCAGAGAAAGTGGGTGGTCACTGATCGGCCTTTGAGGACACACACACACCCTTCTCAGATGCCCTTCCTAGCTGCAGAGGGAAGTGGCGGCTGAATGGAATTCCCACCATGAAGGGATCTTTCTTTTACTATTTGTCTGAAATGAGGAACCACGTTCACAGGAGGGGGGGTTCAGTGCCGCAGAGCTGGCTGTGTCGCCACTCATAATTATATAAAACATTTTCACTTCTAAAAGACAACTAAAGACATTATGAAAAATATTTCGGAATATCAAATACGTTCATAAAAGTCATTACTCTTATTAATTCACCAAAATGACATTTCTCCTAAATTTGTATTCAACACCTGATGAAATGCAGCACACGATCAAACACTTTGGTACCGTTGTCAATCAGACCCTGTTGGAGCCAATATGGGTTTTTCTTTCTTAAAGACATTTTCTGGGTAAAAGTAAACTACGCCACAAGGTTTCTTCCTTTAAAAAAATCCATTGTAAAAATCCCATTGCTTTTTTTGTTAAGGGAACTAGAACGTCTGTGTTTGGACTACAAAGATATGCCTTCCCTTTATTACTGTATACATAAAACAATCTATTACAGGCAACAATTTAGGCAATGAAATGAGGATCAGTCTCGTACTGGAAAGAAAGACGCACGGGAGACGTATGGACCCTAAAAGACCCGGTTTTGCCTTACTCCCTAGAGAGACATGAGTCCGTTTTAACAGGCCAATTTGAGGGTGTGACTGAGTGATGGACACCTGCGGTGGCACCAGGGGCCAAAGGTCAAACAGACAGAGCCGGGTTGTTATTCATGCCGCTTGAAAGGTGTCAAGGAGAAGTATTGGGGACCACACAAACTGAAGGTAAAGGTCTCCTTACGTATTCAGCAGCAGTGTCTGCAACCGGCGTACAACCAGCAATGGTTTCCATGCCAACAACGTAACTGAGCCACGTTTCCCTCAAAAACAGCAGCACAGTCAAAATATTTTCAATTAATTTACATTTTCGGGATTGAGAATCTCAAACTGTAGACCAAGACAATAATCTATGCTCATATCTTACCTTGTATATATTGATGGGGGTACAAACATTTAACATCACACAGCCAGACATACATAGAGGACCATCACACAGCATGTGGCGTTGCACAGCACAGCACAGCGCCCACAGGGGCAAATCTGTTTAAAACCTTTAAACCTAACCCTAACCCTAACCCTTTAAAACCTTTTGGGATTTTGAACTTTGTCATTGGTTGAAACAAAAAAACATATGGAGTTTTTGTATGAAATCTAACAAAGAGAACTGCGAAAAACAACTCTCCCAACCACGTAAACAAGTATCAAACTACATGAGTCTTTTTCCAGAACAGCTTCCCCACATAAACTAAAATATTTTATCAATCTTGGTGTGTCACTGTGGTTTGTCAGATCACAAATTGATACAACAGTTTGTTTCCCCCAGAAATGCGGTTTTGCAGAAAGAAACAACTGCAAACAGCCGTTAAACACAATCTGCTATATGTTCGTGAAGTGACCCACATGTCAAATTCACTCACGTAGCGTGACTTTCACCACAGAATTCAGCAAATGCGATCACTCAAAATGAATTAAACACACCTTTTAAAAAATCCCTGATGCTACGATATTCCTCAAATTCGCTCGAGACCATCAAACCGTTAATTCATCCAGCAGACTGAGCTTTGCTGTACTCCGTCCACTGGCAGCTGGCTCCTGGGCAGAGCTGCAAGCCACCAGGGCCAAACCAAAGCCCTGCACTTATTCCCCAGGGACCACGTCTGCTGGAGCAGCTACACAGCCTGCAGAGCCGCCCACCGACAAGCTAACATCCGCTAACAGCTGGACGATGCAACAACACATCAGGGTGAAATCCATTTTAAATTCTATCAAAGCGGGTTAATACAAAATATTCCGAGACAATTCTGATTTGCCTACTGGTAGTTGTACATTTTAGGGTTCATGCTAATCTGCAGTAGCATTCAGGAAGTGCATCTAAGTCGGATGGAAATGTCATTAGTTCGTGTCAGGTATTCGGTCGTAAAGTAAAGAATTCGATCATTTGGCATTTAGACCTGCTAGTGGCACTAAAGGAAAATGAATAGAACAGTTTCAGAATTTCTCCTGTTGGGACATGGAATATCAATCTCATAGAGGGAAGATCACTTAAGTAAGTAGGGTTCTTACTCTGGGGATGAAAAATGTCTGAATGGCAATTCATATAGTTGTTGTACTTCATTTGGAGCTGAAATGGGAGGAATCAATGGACAATATCATCCAATGGCAAAAATATTGTTTTTACTCATTTTCATTTAGAATTTCTTTAAAAAAATGCATTTATCAGGCTACATTTAAAGGTTTGATATACAATTGTTTCTACTCTTACCTATTAGAGAATCTCAACAAGTTATAAAGTAACAAGGTGAGCAGAGGTGCATCATAGTCAGCTGATTCAAACAGGCACCAATGATGAGCGAAACAATCTGCTAGAGACATGTTCGCAAAATACTACACATGTCACGGCACGTATCTGTACCGAATGTATAATTTCAATGCTGGCAGCCATTGTGTTTAAATGTAACCTAACCAGATGCTTTTACGTGATCTCCTGTTCAAGCGACCATTACAGCTGAAGATGTCCCAGTGGGGAGGCCAATAAGAAAATTCTCTTCTCCCTAAAAAACTGATGGTGAGTTTGAATCAACCAATAATCAGCCAGTGGTCTGAGGAGGAAGAGCTAATTGATTTCCCCGTATAAAAAATAATATTTCCACCCTTCTCACTGGACGGACCGCCACGCCGCGCGTGTGTTAACAGTGGAAATGCGATCAAGGCCAAAATAAAAGGATCAGAGAGCTTTCTATCTCGATTAAAATCTTAAAGTTGAGAATTTCACCGGATTACGCACAAGGTTAACAGAGCGAGGGCGGAATTACCAACTGGAAATTACATATTTCTTCCAGTTACGTCCTGATCAAAAGAACGTAAACGATCAAAAGAAAGTAAATGATCAAAAGAACGTGAATGGAATCCAGCGCTTGCACAGCCAGCCATGAGGAGGCCCACTCTTGCCTTGGGTGGAAACCTCCTCCTGACCTCCACTTTACTCCTCCACATCACACACAGACTCTCACTCTGGTGCCAGGCTGCCCTCTGCTGGTCTCAGACCTCCGTTCATTCTGCTAATACTACAACTTGTAGTTGTGGTATGTTCATGGTTCACTTGGTTGATACGCGTCTAATGGACAAATGACTCATTGTTAATTATGAACCATATCCTGAGGCTGGATTCAATAGGAGTGATAGCCAAAATATTTGTACCACTTGCTCAACTACAATGTCAATTTGATCCCTTTTGCTTTTGACAAATCAATTCCACCCAATATATTATTGGCTGTTAAATAAAATAAACTTCCAGGATCCTTTTACATCCATCGTGTCATCTTATTAATCATACTTTGCTTGGCAGGGACGAAAAAAGTAAAGGACGTTTGGATCCAAAAGAGAATGTTAAAGAAAAGATGAAGCCTACCAAACACTTTCCCACCACACATAGAGAAGTATCATTCTGGCCACACGGCGTCCCGTCCATCACCGTCTCCGACTGCAGCACGTAGAACCTGAAGCCAACGGCCCGGCAGTTGAGTCCACAGTGCTGATCCAAAGGAACTGAAAGTCAACATGAAGGAGAATGTGACAATTCTGATGACTTTTCATTGGGATAATAAATGCAATAAAAGACATATAATGGACAGCTCATAATACAAATTAATATACATATAGTGTGTCAATAGAATACTTTTATCATCTCTCACAAATTAACATTCAATTCAATACTTAACTTAACATGTAAGGCCCCTAAGATGATCAATCGTAGTGTTATAGCTGACTAATCCTGTGCGGTAGGTTTGATATGGCACAGAAATAAAATAAAACATAAAACATAACAAATGAAAATAAGTGAATTCACATTGATATGAATATATATATATATATATATATATATATATATATATATATATATATATATATATATATATTGAGATTGGCATTTAAATTCCCAGATCAGTGGAAAATCACAGCAGTAACTCAAGCAGTAAGTAACGACAATGAACTTTAAATCCATTCAGTAAAAGCGCCAAAACAGCGATTGATTGGAAGAAACATAACTTGCCATCTTTGTGCTTTAGAACAACAATATATGGCAACATGGCGGCAGTTTAGAAATAACATTGTCTTTAAGCGTCTTAGAGTAGCAGATGAGTGGGGTTTACAAACTCTGAATGAATCAGAAAATCCCCTTTTGTTCAGGTGCTTTATTAATAGATGCAGCACAAGCCCAAAAGCGAGGTATTCCTTAAAAAGATGTATTAGGGGACGTTTAAGCACTGTTCAGGACGAGTGTCAAGTAATCCAGACCCGATCTCGTACATTTAGCTGAAGTGATTTAATCTGCATTACCCGTCAGTCAGGGTCTGTGGACCAAAGAGCAGATCTCAAAATACACACGCATTTGACAGGATATTAATCTGGAGCCTGTTAGCTCCATTTGTGTTCCCTGAGTAATTACAGTACTGGAGGTGTTTTGACCGTTGCCTGGATACCTCAGGTGAGGTAGGACTTGTATGTGTGAAGAACATGAACAGACATCACAGCCTTTACATCTGGCATTAGTATTGAGTAGTAAACAGCATTAGTCTGGTAGGTGAAAATAAGGAGGTTTTAAACATATTGTGAACATAATATTGCCAAACATCATTTTATAGTCACGAAAAAATAGATTAAAGACGTAGTACATTCCTTTGTGTCCACTCACCCATTATGACTAATTGAATTTAAGAAATATTTAATGTGCTTGAGTCACGTTCAATGGTTGTAAGCCTGTAAAGGTTTTACGGTTTTACCGAGGTTTGTGGAGGGGCTCATTGGTTGTAATGGGAGATGGAAAACTGTCACCTCATCTGGCAAAACTGTTCGGTACAAACATTGAGGAATTTAACAACATTCAGGCTGTAGATAAACCTTGTTGTTTTTCAAGTAGCTTTAGCTTCATCCTCTGAGCTTCACTGTTTACCAAAATTAAAGGGTTGTTATAAATGTTTGTCTTTGTCGTAACAAGGTGTTTTTTGAGTAAAACAATAAGTATATATTAAAAAAGTAATAATAACAGTAAGTCATTTTGTGTAATGAATATGAAACTTATTCTAAGAGCAAAGTGGAGTTACATGCACACAGCTATGCACGCACAGTGCATAACGCTGCACATGACCTACCCTCATTGAAAGGTTCCCACTGGTACAATCTGCCCATGAAAGGTCGGCTGTCGTATGAGGAACACTGAACAGCCCTGATGTGTCTGCTGGATGGAGGACAGGCCTGAGGATGGAGCCGTCACACACACACACACAAACATCAGAGACACGTACATTTATTTGACACAAAGAAAGGTCTCTAGCAAGCTCACATTTCTCATTGTCACAGTCTGTAGACGCTGATCGACTGCTGGCAACAACCTCCAACCATATTTACCCTTTCTAGGAGTTTGATGAAGGCTCGCCAGTGTAACTCAACCTCCCCGCCATCCCCCAATATCTGGGTCATCACTCACCAGAAACACTATACAGAACCAGACAGTTTGAATTTATTTCAATGCACAAGGTGGATATCAGATTTGCAGAGCCTGTGCACTTGCACTTCGGTTTAACTGAAAAAGTTTTCCCACACCGGTATTAACGTTACATTATTTAGTGTAGGTGTTAGATGGCTTTACATTTTACGGGTTGTATGCAACAGAACATAAGGGTGAGGCTCTGCAGGAACATACAGACCTCCACTACCTCCCTGCACATCGCAGCAGCCTTTCAATGCAAACAACTTTTTTATGAGCAAACATCGTAAATAAGTCACTCGCAAGGCACATTAACCATCTTCTCCTCCACAATACTTCTAAAAGACCTGACGCCATTGATTCCTTGACGAAATACTGCTCGACTGACGCAAAATGCTGATCAATCCTGCATCACCTGGAATCATTATTCTATCAGGATGTAGGACTTACAAAGTCCTACTTACTGCTCTTATATTTTTTTAAAGTGACGAGAATCGAACAAAATCAGAACATTCTGCACAATCAGTAACGTTATCCATCTATCAGATTTGCATGTCTTGCCAACATGCTGGGAATAATACTAAGAAGGTGGAGATTTGCATACATTACTGTTGCAGATCCTGTAGTGAGCATGCTCCCCCGTGCAGAAGGAACTAGGCAGCGGCTCGTAGGGTCTCTCTTGGTGCTGCTGGGGTCCAGGCGTCTGCCTGCCCGACTGTGGCTCCTGGTGGACCTGAGGCTGGTTGGCCGAACCGGGCTGGTAGAGGGGAGCCCACACTTGGTTATGCTTGGGCTGGTGTGCCCTTGGTCTGCTGCGGTGATGGGCGGGGTTGGCGGGCTCCAGGTTGTTTGACCTGTGGCCCCTAGCGGCGTGGCCCCTAGCGGCGTGGCCCCTGGCAGCGTGGCGGTGGGCGTCAGCCGCCACAGTGCGTCTCTGTCTCTGGGGGCGAGGCGTCCTGGGGCTCTGGCCCTTGTCGGTCTGTAATGGAGCAACATGAGGAGCTCTCCCGTAGCCGTACCTCCCTGCGTTGATCTGAGTGACCCTCCTGAGGACACAGACATGACGACATCACCGACTGGACCAATCATGTGCCGGTTGTGACCGACCCATTCAGGAAACTAGAAATAAATCTGGTTACCTATTATAAATTTAAATATTAAACCTTGGAAAACCACCCGGACGGAGATTCTACAACTTTTTACTTTTTGTGTATTTTCCATTTTGAGGAAACTGTCGGTTATTCATCAAGTTCTGAGAGCGTCCAGATCAGGGAGCTTTTGTCGTTACTTGGATGCTAAGATTGTAACTCAAACAGCCCCCTCCCCCAAAACAGCCCATAACTCAGCTGTCAGTGCTATTTGTTTAAAGGAAAGCACAACAGGAAGCTGCCAAGCACCAGCCGAGCCTTTGACTACATCCATAAAAGACTAGTTTCCCACTGAAGGCCAGTGAGACGGCCCACAGCGTTGGCTCCACAGAGTCACTTTTAGACCAGCGCTGCTCGGCATGCAGCACAGCCGCACCGGCTCGACTCTTTTCAACTTCCATTGGACAGATCTATATTTTTTTAAGGCAAAGAAAAAAAGACCTCCGTTTGTGCAGGATCATACGATACCTGCGTTCTCCGGGCCGAGTCTCCCTCGGATCGCCATGACGGCTGCTGTTGGAGGACCTGCCCAGGTCGCGGTGCAGAGGAACTGTTGGCCGCAGGGCTGAAATGACGTAGCCTGGTTGCTGGGGGGGAACACCGCCTCTCCTGGCGGGGTACAGGGACGGTGTGTGTACAGGCAGACAGGCCCTGCTCTGCTCCTGCACACCTCTTCCACAGGTCCTAGAGCAGGTCGTCCAGGGCCCCCAGGCACCCCAGGAGCCCTGGATATCTCCCTGCTCTGCCCTAAACTCCTGTGGGGGCTCTGCCCTCCCAGGAACCTGCATGGAGATGAAACAACCAGGATTAGCGACACCGCTGAGCGGCATGAAGCGGGAAGAGCGCCACACCAAGTGCGTGCCAATGATTGATGGAAAGCCTCCATCAACTTAGTGATAATCTCCCCGGATCATGGCTCGAGTCAGTGACCTCATCTCGTCAACACGACTGTCCTGCCCCTCCGTCCCCCACCACTGTCCATGAAATAGACCTCTGTTCACTTTTAGAAAACCCGGATTTGGCTGATTAGCGGTCTGTCAGTAGGCTTTCCCATGTTGGCTACCTGCGTTTCTCACCGTTGACTCTAACCCTCCGTGCAACTTTGCCAGGGACATATTAGTGGTGATCGCTGCACTCTCTGTTTGAGGAACCAGCCAGGGGGCGGCCCTGTGCCAAGGAGGCTTTATCCGCCGAGACGCATGGAAATCCCACTCAATGAGGGACCACTTTGTGTCCATTCACAGCAACATCTCTGGGCAAACACACGGCTGTAGTAAAAGCTCAGCTGCCTCTGACTTTAGGCAAATGGAGAGAGGATACAGAAGCAGTTGGCAGGAAGTTCCTCTTGTGTCAATCAGCCTGTGAAGCTATTCAGACCTCTTCCACCCTCCCTCGGACTTTGTAACTCAACACCACTGTCATCGCCCAGGGTCAGCCATAGGTCACTCAGCTACACCCCCGATGGAAACACATTGAGCCGACTTGAACCCCCCCCCCCCCCCTTCGATCCCGATGGATGGTCGATCTGTCAGTCAGCTTCATCCACTGGTTTTCTTCGGAGGGGTTCTTGAGGTCAGGAGATGGTTCACCGACAGCTCAGCCCTCTCTGTTTCACCGCAATCACACAATTTTCCGCTCACGCTTTTATTACAAGCTAACAGACTAGCACCCTGGTCGGGTGGGGGCACGGGGGGCAACTTGCACTGTTAACACACTCTGATACCGAGGAAGCAGTGAAAGTCTATCATTTAGGGCGTCATGCGGCTCTGCCAACGAGACACGATCGTGCCGTCCACCAGCGGAAGAGCATCGATGAAACAACAACCTGTAAGAATGTTCTGGCACCGCCAGCAAGAGGGTGTCAAACACCAAATAGAGAACAGCGATTTATTGATTTCCATAAGCAGCAGCTGCTCACCTTCATTTGGTGTGTTGCGTGTTGACAGTCCAGGAGGTCGGACAGTAACAGCCAGAGGACAGAAGCTCTACAGAGAAAAACACACAGGCTCGAGGATGTACTGTACAATAAAAGAAAATTATAAAATAGAATATTGTTGAATTCAGAGATTGTTGGCCAATGAAAGTGTGAGACAATTAACTTAATCTGCATTTAAATAGAAATGAATTTTAATTAATTAGAAACCACATTACCTGGCAATCCGGACGCAGGCTGCTTGCATAGCTCCCGGCTTCTTTAAGAAGGACACCTAAAGAGTGAAGTTTATATCGGTCACCGAATGGGTCCGGACATTTTCGGGACAAATGGTCTGTGAGACCCGGGAAAGAGGCCCTGGCTCTGTCGAACCACTAACCCTCTACATATAACTCAACTTATATGTTTCGCATCTGAGCCAAAAGGTAGATTTGACTCTCAATGCGTCTAACTATCCCACGATGGAACATCCTGCCACATCCCTACGCCTCCAGACACTGACTCAGAGGGGTGAGGTGACTTCTACACACTTGACCATGCAAGTTGCCCTTTTCTGACCTCTGACTCCTAATGTGGCAGCACCCCCTGCTGAAGCATTTGCAAGAGCCAATTAGAGAGCAGGTCCAGAGGTCCAGCTGGAGACGGACTCTCACCTCTCACCCCAGGCCTTATAACTCAGACCTGTTTGTCTAAATTAAGCTCATTGAGTCAAAAAGTCATGCAAACATAGGAATGTCTAAAACCCCGAGAATGCATACATGAATACATATACAGAACACACATATGTGATTATTAGGGGATGGAGAGAACTCCCCATAAGGTTTTTATTTTTAATTAAAGAATGAATTAACAGTTGACGTACCTGTAGGTGATGTGTGCTGAAGTCCACTTTACTTTCTACTGGGTTCTATAACTGCATGTGTGGAAACATTAATCCGGGTTGTTATTCAGGCTTTTCCCTCCACAAACCTTGTGTTAAGCCATTTCAATTAGTAAATCCGTCTGCGGAGCAGCGAATGAGACCCGGCGCGCGAGGAGCCGCCGGTGAGTCCAACCTGCTTCCTTTTACGCACAAAGCCGCAGAACGACAGAAAGCTGGAGAAGATCAACACGACGGAAAAACCTCTCTCTCCCTCTCTCTCCCCCTCTCTCTCTCTCTCTCCCCCTCTCCCTCCCTCTCCCTCTCTCTCCCTGATCCATGCGTGTGCAAGTGCGTAATGTAAATATGCGCGCTTGTCTCCTCCCTCTCTCACTCCTCAAAGTGTTCGTGTGAGGAGGGAGCAGACGTCACTCATTTATTAGTGAAATGAAGCCAGTGCAAAAAAACACACACAAAACCTGCCCCACGTGCCCCTGTTGATACACACACGGGCTTATGATAATTTCAGTAATCACATCAAACTATTATTAAAAAAGGAAACTCCCTTAAACTGTAGAACTGATTTTTAAAAGCAATTTAAGCTCATTGAAAAGGGGACATGGTTTGCACAAAAACCTCTTTATTTATGAGTGTAGCTTTTACACACTTATGTGACGACAGGAGAGTGAAGGGAATTATTTTTTCTATCATGGAAAATCCCATTTTCATGAACTCAAAAAGAGCTCGGCGGGCTGTTTAGTTGGCCATGTTTCATTGGACAGAACCAAACGGAGCTACAAATGGTTCAGTGATTTACACACCAGACCATTGACCGCTGTTTCGTTGTGTCGTCCCAACGTTAACATGTCAAAACTGTGAAATGTATGAGTGCAGTCTATCCAATGTGCTCATCCTCGTGCTCACGGCACAATATGCACATACATGTGTCTGCTCAGGGATCTGCAGGGGAGCCGGTTCCTGTTGTCGGCCCCACTGAGCGTCCTCATCCGTGCAGAATTTGGCTTTAACCCCAATGTTTCCAAACGACTTCAACGGCAAAACCAGGCTCCAATTAAAGCTTCTTTAATGAACTACTGTTCCGGATGACCCACTGAAGGCCTCTGCAGAAGACGGAGTAGAGAGACCCGGTTGTCCAGCAGTATGCATTGATTGGCTACTGCACACAACAACAACAACAAAGAATACCATCGCAAAACCAAATTATTTGGTTATTAGAACTTTCAGTTATTATAATAAATGAAAAATGTATGTGTTACAATGTACATGTAATTTTGAGCTTCCTGTGCTTATTTATTGCAGTGCATGGCCATCAATAAACAATGCACTTGCTTCACTCCAGGAGAAACTCATAGTTCGAATAGATCCTGTGAGGTGGAACGAATTGGCACCTGTATGTCCAGACTGAACAAAAGTCGGTCCCAGAGTCCAGCACGTCCATGCTGAGGGCTCCAAACCAGCTTCGGGTTTATTGTAGATAATGTTGCATGACCTCGGCCCTCCAGTAGGTCCATGTAATCATGCTTCCTCGGCTCCACTCGCTCTTTTTGCTGCCACTTTAACTTCCATCTATGTGAACAAAGTGACGACAACATTACTCCATTAAACAGGTACAAACCTACTGCTGAATGAAACAAGTTCAGGCAACTTCTCTAGGGAGGGTATTCTGGGATATGTTGGTAATAACTAACTACTAATATAAGTACCAAAGGCAGACTGAGAAAATGTGGGTCAAACTTACATACATACATATCTATAGATATATAGTGAGCCCGTTAGCCAGGTTGGATGCGGTCAGTGCAGCCAGCCTTTAAGAGACACCCAACCTGATGCAATGATGGTCACTCTTCCTGAAGACACCGAAAGAAATTTCATTTCATTACATTGCATTGCATTTCTTTTTCACGTTGGAATGAGAAAAGCAACACATTACGCCTCTTCATTATACCTCTTTGACATTTTTAGGTATATGGTTATGTCTTCTACTGGAATAGCATTATGCCATTTGTTTGGAGCATAAAGTATACATACACATTTGTGTTTCAATAAAAGTCCGGACAACGTACTTCAAGAAATGGACTAAAAGATGTTTGGAAATAATCCAGACTGTGTACCAGCTGTGTGACAGATTTTCACAGATAAAGAAAGAAGAAAATATTCTTTGAGAGCTATCGATCACCTTTGAATAAGCACTAAGCTATCATTGAACATTATCGGATGGGATTGGCGTGATGTTGTTTGACGCTCCGGGTCGGTGCTCTGCTGATTAAAGGAAAGCGTTAAAAGAATTCCTGTTGGGGGCGTCTCAGTGTGGCGACCGGGAACAGGTGGTGGTAAACTGGTGAAGCTTCTACGCCTTTGGGGACATTCCAGTTCGAGCTCACACTACCTACAGGCCTCCTCACGGATGCTGGACCTGCTAGCGCTAGTCCACACACACACACACACACACACACACACACACACACACACACACACACACACACACACACACACACACACACACACACACACACACAACCTATGACTCGGCCTATGCAGCGGGTGATAATGCGCTCCTTCAAAGTGAAGCGAGGGGAAGCAGAAGAGATGAACTTGATCTGAGCCCACCCGATGCTCGATTAAAGAAAGTCAAGACCTTTTCACTTTTGTAAAAAAAAAAAAAAAAAAAAAGTTTACAGAGAGCAATAGTGTTTATAAAGAATATTTTAATACTAAGCACAATACAGAAAATCTGTGGTAAACAAAGAAAAAGTCATTCCTGTCTCTTTATACATCTGAGGGGAGAAGGTGAGAGGGGGGCGATGCATGGAACGTTATTTAAGCCACGGAGGGAGGTCATTCAGACAGTGCAGCTTGCTCAGTAGGGGACCACAATGCACTGTGACTCAAGACTTTCACTGTCTTCAAGTATACCACAGTTTCAAGCATCGAAGAGTCCAACAGATTGTCTATTGTGGAAATCTACATTCTTTCTTATGATAATTCCTCCAAAACACTTTGCCTTCTCCTTACAGAGCTACACGCTCTTTTGGGAAATAGACCTTTCTGTTTCCAACGAATGAAACAACTGCTGGTCGGCGATAAGTTACTGAGTGACGACGAGACAGATGAATGAGCTTGTTATGAGTGTGTCCACGTGTGTGTGTGTTTGGTCTAAAGCGTGACGCTTTGGTCCTCTTCACTTGGTCTCAGAGAGCTTGGCGAGGCTGGCTTGGCGGAAGGCTGCGCGGTCCCTCATCTCCAACACGCAGTCCCGCACCATCTCTGCAAACATGGAGGGCCACAGCTTGTGCAGGGCCTCGCCCTTCAGGTTGGTGTCGGACGCCGTTTGGACCAACTCCTGGAGGTACTGCTCTACCATGGCGGCGCGGTCAGCTGACTCCACACTGCCCTCCTGCGAGGAAAACAAAGAGAATACCGTCTATTCCAATGGTGAAAGGGCATAAAGGGGCAGAGCAGTGGAGAGAAGAGAGAAAAGTTAATAAGATGCATCAGAATTTAAGCGATCACATTCCCATGTTAAACATAGTAACAGGATATCCATCCTTTAGAATGTCAAGTATCAGTGAAGTATGAAAACACAGTATTATGTTTCCAAAATGATATGGTACAAAATGACAAGAGGGTCAAAATATACATTTAAAGTCTTTACTCTTGATGACTTGCGGTGAATAAACGTTTTCTGATGGCTTGGTCAACATGCTGTGTTTCCAGAACCAGGAACGAAATTGATCAATTAGATGTGTTGAAATGAACTCACACACCAACTATACAGGATGGGTGGTGTTTGTGCCGCCTGATGGTGCGCTTGATTTATGACGACTGGCCCTCCAACATCACCAACAAATGTGCAAACGTTTTGAAAGGAAAAACGAAAAAGGACATTTTCGAAATCGATGCAGGCAAAGTATCTCATCATCTTTGAGCTGAATGGAAAATCTTATTGCAAAGCAACAACAACTCAATAGGTGAGACGAGCACTGCAGGTCAGAGCAACACAAGCACGGTGACGTAATGACGAAAGGATTAACCTGGGACCCGCGCTTCATTATTGAATTAACGAATGCTGCGACCTCTCAAATCATTTGGACAAGCAAAACGGATCTGACCTCCGGGCTCTCTGCACTGCAGTCTCTGCTCGGGTAGTTGAACAGCGCTCTGCTCAGGCCTTCTCCCACGAGCTTCCCGTTGTCTCGCAGCTCCTCCGGACTCAGTCCTGCCCGCCGGCCACGCCCCTCCAACAGGAACTGCAGCTGGCGCTTCCTTCAAGGTGAAGAGAGAAGCGTGAGTCACGCACGCAGCGGGAGACACACAGAGACACCAAGGTAATAGAAATGTGTTCCCGAGTCGATCTAATGCCACCTTCGAATCGAACCCTCATGTTTGAATAGATATTAGCGATTCCTTTTCACTTATGAAAACTGTAGAGGACTTTAAAGGGACGTAAGCTACACCAAATGTAGCTGTCTGTCTGTATGAACTCTCATGTGGTTCACTACTGCACCGACATGTTCCACGGGCCAGTGCCAGGGTGCTGAAATAGTCTTTTGAGAGAAGGCTGGAGGCAAAAATTCCACATAGGATAAGATCGGTTTGTAAAGTGTGCGTGTGTGTGTGTGTGTCAAAACCCATTTGTGCGTGTCAGTCAGACATCGTGCTGAGGAATAAGATCCAGAGCAAACAGCAGCATTAAGTATTATAGTGTGTGCATTCGTTCCTCCTTAAAACGCTTTCCTCTCGCCGTGTTCCTTTCACTGACATCCCTACTGATAAAATGTGGGGAGCTTTCCTCAGTCTCAATAAGGGGAGAAGGTCAAAGGTCAGCTGAGAGTGAATTTAAGCAACCAATAGATTTAAAAATAATATTTTACAATGAAAATACCGATCTGGTCATTTTGAGTATTGCTAATGTTTTGCTTTGAGTTGACTTGTAAGAAAGCTAGCATTAGCTTAGCAACGCTATTGGCCCCATTTGTCAGGTTCTGTAACATTTTTCCTTCAAACTGTTTGCCATAAAACTTTTTACAAGGGACCAAAATCCTATTGCAATGGATTGCACATATTTATTTGGATTATTTTATTTGCATTTTATTCTACTTTGGGTTCCACATGTGCACACTTTGTGTTTGTTATGTCTACTGAATTAATATTTGAAAGAATGAAGTGTATTAACATCAGAAATGAAGTGACTGTTGATGATTTGCATTTACGCAAGCAATTCAAACCTACACTGACGTTATTGTGCTTGTCTCATTTCCCTTTTCCAGTATTCTTCACATGACACCCAGCATGGAGCAGGATGAGAAAAATATCACAGTAATACATGGAAATACTGACTAAAGGGGTAATGGCTGCATGCAGTGATTAAGATTTCAGCGACAAAGCCAAAATAATGGTGGGGCCTCGGGCTGTTTGTGTACGTGGATAGACGTTATCATTATCTATGCATGAATTAGGGCGGCTAAAGTTTAGGAAAATTGAGGTGATGGAAGCTCAGACGCATTACTGGACCGGTGTTCTGCTCAACAGTAAATGGCATTCAGATGGAGGTTGTTTAGACGGCCACATGCAATACAGACTCCTACCAGTCAGATTATTGAATCTGGTCATTTCCCAATCTTTCAGAGGAGCAGTGATACTGTGCCCAGCTTTGCTTTTGACCTTTGGGCCTCCAGATGCTGGGGCACCATTAAATAAAAAAACCTCTCATGCATGATTCCCGCTCTGCGAGGAACTTTTTCATGGGAGTGACAGACCTCGAGAGCTTTTGGCTGTGGAGAGGGAAGAATGTTTGTGTCAGAGAGCCAAAAACCCACCCTTTTACCCTGAGACACACAGTCTCCTTCCCATGGCTCCTTGGTGCCAGGCTCCGTCTTGCCGTCTCTCACACACACAAATCTATACACGCACACACATTATTAATCCACACATTCCTGCCATGTTCAAATGCATACACAGGACACGGCGCACACCTATCATTAGGTTGTGGTTGACGTTCTGTTGTGGTGAACCGCGCAGGAGTTCTCACCTGGACTCCTCCAGCAGCAGGAGGAGGCGGCAACGCGGCGTTTCGGTGGCCGCTATGTGACCCAGCGTGCCGAACACACGCTCCGCGGCGATCACGTCATTCATGGTTACCTAGGGCAGGCAACACAAACCAGAGGATACTTGATTTGTCGGTTAGGGAAAACAAAATGGTAAGAGTTATGCTTTATCATGAGCTCTTTACCTGCTCTTTCATATTCGTAGTCATATTTGAGCCAACTTGCCGTCTAAACATAGACATACATACTATATAAATGAATGAAGCACTCCGTCACATTAGCAGCATATCAGCCTGGCTGCCATTGCTCGTGCTAAGGGCCTCAGAGGTGCTGCTCCAACCCTCAACAGGTCGAAGCGTTCGCCAACAGACCTGTGTCGTGTCATTGGGCCTATAAGGCTGCTTATGTAGTGTTGTGTGCTATCCAATAATGTGTGTCTATGCTGTCTTAATGCTGGTTCGGTGGACTCTGGGTTGAACCATTGTGTCAAAAGCTACAGTAAAAACTGTGATCGCAACTCTTTACTGTATAAGTATATCTTAAAAGAGGAAAAATCCTCAGGTGCCGTAAATTATTCCAGGAAACACAGCCCCTTAAAATAAGGCTGGGAAAGGCAAAGGAAAAGTTTGGAAATATATTTGCTTTCCGGCCATGGAGCTATAAAACCAAATTTGTACAAATGACTAAATATGACTAATTAATTGCAAATCCTCAGAGGTGCTCAGAAACACAAGCCGATTCAAGCACAATATTTTGCTTCTAAAATAGCAAATGAAAACACATGCTCTCATTTTCAAATTTGCGACTCTTCATTCAGAGTAACACCTGTCATTGGTTTCTATATGTGCCTCTTACAAAGCAGTGGGGAGGCCTCATTCACCAGCTCACCTCCTGGCCGTTGATCCTCTGCAGGTTGAGGTGGTTGAGGCGGTACACGGCGAAGGAGCGCCACAGAGCCAGGCTGACCACGGGGTTTCCATCCGGCTGGATGGTCAGCTGGTCGAGACGCCTCACCTGAGCCAGCGCCGCCAGCTGGGGCAGACGGCTGATGTTGGCTTCCAGGAAGATCAGGTGCTGCAGCAAAAGCAACCAGTTGGTTCGGAAAACAGAAACTACTGGATGTCCTGTGCACTGTATTTGTGTCTTGTTGATGGTGGGAGAGATTGAAATTGACCTCCCTACAATTGCATTTTGTGTAATTATTTTTGCCATGGCAGAATATGCTACATAAATCCGGATAGTGACATTTATAAAGTAAACTAGAGAAAGCAAAGATACAAAGTGGGAAAAAGCGTCCTTGTTCCTTTGTGCACGCACGTGGAAGAGCCTCAGAATGACCACAACACTGAGTATCCAGCACGGCTATCGATGCCGAGTACAGGAAATGGTCAGGTGTGTAACGGCTTTGTTGTTAGGCTTCATCATTTACTACAACCACATCCAAAGGGAACGCGCCCGGCGTCCTCACCGACAGGTTCGGGAACTTGACCCTTATTCGCGGCAGTGTTGGCAGTATGGCGTTGAAGTCGATGTAGCGGAAGGCGATTACAGTGACGGCGCCGGCGGTCTGAACTCCCCAGCCCCTCTCCAGGGCCTCCAGGGCTCCGGGGCCAAACAGACGCAGCGTGTCCCCGTCCAGCTCCGCCAGGTGGCTGTCGGAGAGGGACAAGCTCTGAACACTGCAGCTCCCCGCCTCCACCAGCCTGCCGAACACACACACACACACACTTGATCTTTATACGCAATACATTGTTATTGCATTGCAGGATATCTCCATGTTAGAAGTGCCGAGTAGGCATTTGCATGAAAAAGCATTGTGCCAAAAGGTGTAAGAAGCCTCATCGCTGCGGACGCCGTCTCGTCTCCTAAACGCTTTCTATTCTCCTTGATGACGGTTGAAGTGCCCTTCCCTGATAAGAGACTCGTGGGAGTGGAGCATCTGACCCAGCCTCAAGGACACTTAATTCCCCCACCGCCCGGCTCGGCCCTCTGGCTCGGCCCTCTGGGTCGCCCAGACACTCGGGGGGCTGCTAGCGGGGGCATCGGATGGCTTCTCGCCGCACGCTACTAGCCGCTGATGACTGTGTCTTCAGCCCTGTTCATATTTCACACCCTCCCAATATTTAAAGGCAGAAGACTAATCCTTTGATTCCAGAACTCGGATCCAAGATTCTTGTTCAGACAGATGTTTTTTAGAAAGTGTGTGTGGGAGAGTCATTGACAAAAGAAGAGGAAGAGAGATCTACTTTCAGTCATAAAAACTGTCCTGCTGGAGTTCATCCACCATTTCTTTCTTTGGCACATACATTTGTTGTATTTAAAACACCTTTAAAATAATGCCCTCTTATGAGGTCTTTACATAGAGCTTGTAAAATCATGCAATCATTAGACTCAGGCATGATGCAGAGCTGGGCCTCATCCAGCGGACATTAAGACCCCCCCACACCCTACCAACTCAAAGCCCCTTGTGCCACGAACACAGAGACAAAGCGGATGAGGAGCGGGAGAGCGCGTGACGACTCCATCAAAATCCCTCGGATCCTGTTCTGTTCTATTAACGCTCTAATTCCATCAGGGCTGTCCCACTTAATCCCACCGAGTTTTTTAAAAAGGGACGTCTCGCAACAACTTAATCCACCACCGAAGAAGTGGCTAGGAATCTACGCATGGCGCCATTTGCCTAAATGCCGTTTCAAAAGAGCATTTCACAGTTAAAAAGAGGGGAAAAGCTTCAAGTAGCAGTTACTGGTAGAGCGCGGAATCAGATGTTGGCTTTACGGGTGCCAAGTACTTGTTACACTTTGTTACAAGTACTTGTAACTGTTACAGAGAGAGTGTATGTGTGTGTGTGTGTGTGTGTGTGTGTGTGTGTGTGTGTGTGTGTGTGATAGTTAGATAGCAGATAGTTCATGAATGAGCCTTCAGAAGCACCTGTTTAGAGTCCCAGCTGAACATTTAAAACTCAAAAACTAAAGCACAAATGGTAAAAAAAAAAGGCACCCCCCCACCTCTCGGTAATGAGTCCATCTAATCCCATCTCTCGGGGCAAAAAGCAGTAAAATACAATTGCTCGAATAAATGATCAGCCACTTGTAGGCATAAGCCCTTGTAGCATCACAACAACACACAAAATGCTATATCGTCATCTTTTGTCCTATTTCATCAGTCCATGTTTGTTGTTTTCACACCAAACATTATGTTTACTATTGGGACCGACAACACTGTACATTTCCAGCGCAAACATTAATATAGAAATTATGGAAATTCCTTATCTGAATAATAAGAATACAGCAGCAAAGGCTTCCTAAAAAAATGCAACTGTCCATTTGTATCTGAACTCTCACAACGTGAACTGAAAACATTTAAAGATTTTTCCAAATTTGAGAACAATCACATATCACCTTTTATTTTGTTTTGTTTAATTTGTCTCTAACTGAGAGGCTGGTTCACATTAGCAGGCTTGCAACAAAACAGAACACAATCTCCAGCTTGACAAACACTCATGCACCAAGAGGTTGCCCCTGCTTGTCACTGAGCACATCCAGATGTGGCGGGTCCAGCCCCTGACCTTCACGGGAAACAAAGAATCCCTTGAGATTCTGGATAAGTAGGAGAATGGTTGACCTGCAATGCCACGGTGCGCTGTTCCTTCAGGGTCAAAAGAATTAACCCAAACCCACGTGGACCTGATGCGTGACAACATTGAGGCAAAAGTGTTGACTCACAGGCTTCAAAAATGCCATCCATCACCTGCCCCCGGGTGCTCTACATTGGGGGGGATGATGTCATTTTTTCCACCAGCAGCCTGGCATCTGGTGTAGCCGTGGAATACAATGTGCCGGACATTAAACTTTTACATTTCCACGTACATATGCCCAGGTTTTTAAAAGCGTTTATCACCTGGCATTTTAGAATCAGATATTCTCTCTTTCCCAGTAACTGGTGGTGCCATTGTTTGTAAAGACCCTGTTTATCCAACACAAGCCTAAGAGAAGCAAGTCCCGTCTGAAAAAAACTGGCATATTGGATTGCGTGAGATGCTGTTCATCCCCATAACCCGTTAAGCCAAAGGACTGAAGTTATAAAAAGAACATTTTCAGATCCTGGTGCAGGAAGGAAAAACACGTCTTTGAAACATGTAATGATAGTGCTTTACACATCCCCCTCTTTCATCCCAGTCCTCCCCCCCATAACTCACCCTGACCTGGATCCCAGTCTGTGCAGGAGAGTACATCAGAGCCTCGTGCTCACATTAAACTCTCACCACTAGCATTCTGTTATAGATAGCAGAAGAAGAAAACGACTTTCGGGTATCTTGGACGTGCATGTGCTGATCGTACCGCCGAGCTCACGGAGCTCAGAAGCAGCCAGACACCCAGAGCAAAAGTAAGGGTCATTTTGTTGCTCAAGACTATTTAAGTGGCGTGATGCACCATTGCATGAGGGGAACTTCTATAGCTTTTTTTTCCCCCCAATTTACACTAGATCCAGGTCCCATCAGAAAATGTCAAACCGATTGCACAGTTGTACAGGCCTCTACTTCAGGGAAGTGTTCATTAACCCCCAGCACGCCTCATTCCTCAGCAGAAGGCAACTCGAGCCTGCCTCCAAAAACCAGTCAACAGATTCCTGTTTAAAAAACGATCATTCTCTATGGCCAATTTCCCGTTTAAATTATATTCATCCTTACTTAGGCATAATTTAGGCTTATGTTGCTTTGACAGGTGTGGGGTCGTCTCATGTTTCCACAGCCACCCACATTGAGCAACGACTCCAACCAAATGGGTGACGAGACAAAAGCTACGTCCATGTTTCAGTGCACACGCTCGTCCACGTTTGTCTTACCTGGGATCTCGTGGGCTGTTTGGGCGGCTGTTGATGCGCAGTCTGCTCTCCGCTCCAGCCGACGGCCGCTCTGGTCCCGACCCTGGGCTCACACGTCTGATAAAACAAAACAAAAAGAAAGAAGGCTTTAGGATAAACGAGAAGCTAGCCTGTAAAGCAAAGAGAACAATAGACTTTTAAATCTGCTGAATTCTCATTGACGGTTTGATTGTGACTAAAGACACCCCAGATGCGTGTGCCAACACCTCTAAATGTGCATGTACGTTGTATGTGGTCCATCTGAGCTACATTATGTCATAGTGCACAGTCACACGTACCCCTGGTACCTTACAGTTAGGGAGCATCGTCCCTCTTTTAGTTCTACAAGCGCGCCTCCTCCGCCTGCTGATGTGGTGCGTACCTTGGTTCATCTGGAGAGGGTTCCTGTGCCAGGCCATTGGTCTGGGCGGGGCTGTGGGCGGGGCTGTTCTCCGGACTGACTTCTTCTTTAGCCCCGTTGGCCGGTGGCAGTTCCAGGCAGGCCCTGATGCCCTCCCACTGCTGCGCTGCATTACGGATCGCCAGACGCCGCTTCTCCTTGATGGGCACAACACACACACACACACACACACACACGCACAGAGGAGGTTTCAAGTGACAGTTTTATTGGGTTGAACACAGAGGGCTTATTCTAAGCTAATGACGGTCTCAGAGGTACGTTGTTAAAAAACTGCTTACTGGCCTGACTTGCACATATGGCCCCTCATTAAACTAAGATCTGAAATTGTATATGCATGTGTTGGTCATATTTATACTCTCTTGTTACAGCGGGATTTTCATTTAACGGCAGCAGCAGCCATAAAGGTGACATCTCCACCCTGCAAGAGAGATTAGTTCTGCTGCTTTGCAGTCTTTGAATTGTTCTTTGCCGGCCAAGCTGCAGTTTCGATGCACTCGGTTTACGGAATGTGCCACTCCTCGAAGCACGGGTGAGTCAGTATCAATCATGGCGCATCCTTCACCTTTACGAACTCTTGGCTGCGGCATTCGGTGCAATGTTTTCTCAACACCAGGGATTAACAGGAGTTAGGTTACTGGAAGACAATGCGTTCCCCACAGAGACAGTCTCTCAGCGGAAAGACACCGCTGCGGGGCAGACACAGCAGGAGCACAGACGATGTGTACTTTTGTGCTCACGCAAACGTAGCTCACTGCAAAACAGATGCCCGTGCAAGAGAGAACCTCTGCAGCCCTTTAAAGAAACATGACCCCCTTACGGATACAGTACCCTTGTGGACAGTGCTCCTCCCTTGTGGACATTGTTCCCAAAGGCAACGTCCATTGGGTAATACTGATGCGGTGAATACCTTTGAAAGTCCACGTATTCAAAAAGTTATAAACATACGTTAGAAGGGACGTAAAAAGAAAGAGAAAAGTAAAAAACGAATCCAGATCAGGATGCCGGCCGAGAAGAGCGTTCTCATTTTTCTTAATATTTGAATAGTTAAAGAGTAACATTAAGGGGTTGCTATTGTCCAAATACACACCTATACCTGACTTTTACCTGGACATGCAATGTCCTGAAGCTAACTCATAATGTATACAAGTTACAACTACATCTCTCTCATCAGAAATGCAGTCTGTGGTAGTTCTGGAATTGTAGCCCATCCACTAATAACTAACCATACAACACCCAAGGTGATACAAACGGTACACCTGTAAATCTATTCTCGTAGATGTAGGCCACATGTTCCAGCTCTGAATCCAGGCTGACAGCGGCGACAGGAGCTAATCGCATCAGACCGGTACCTTATGAATGGTCTGCTTGTGGCTCTCCCTCTTCTTCTCCTCCTCTTTTCGAGCCTGCACACCAGCCATGCGCCGATCCTCGTCCTGAAAAAAGATAGCTTGTGCCATCAGAGTGTCGCTCCATTCATGAGTTCTGAATAATTCAGAAGGGAGAGGGGGCACAAAAGACGCCGCTAGGAAAAGGCTTGTCCTCCATAGCGGGGGGGAGGAGGGAAGGGGGGGACCGGACTGAATGTGGAGGATGGGAGAGACTCTCACACCAGCCAGCCGCATCACAGGATTATCCCTCCGATTTTGTGTCTCTGATCAACCCGGCCCAGCTGTTTGGCCAAAGCTCCCAGAATGCAACGCTGCCAAACGGAATCTGAGCGCGCCAGCCGCGAGCTGGGGGACATTCGGCTGTCTGTGTCGAGCAAGCAGAGACGCTTCAGTCGGATCAATGGTGGCAAAACGGTAGCCTCATTGCAGTTCAGACACTGGTGGAGGCAGATGAACATGTGAGGCCTCCTTGTCTCCACTACACACTGAGCGCCTGTATTTGTTTGGGCAGCAAAGATTTAGTCTAGTAGATTGATAATTTAACTGTTAGGTCCTCCGTCAACTACCGTATTTCCATTCAATTTAAAACATTTTCACCTCTATTTTCTATATGTAATTAATGTAGAGATGCATATTTAATTGTGCTGGATTATATGTTTTATCAGATGATGAAATGTAATAACTGTAAAACAAATAGTTATTTCTTCACTTGAAATGTACACATATAGCATTTATTATTCTTTCATCTAAGCACCGATCTCCTAATTTGCAGTACAAGCTCTCACTTTATCTATAAATAATAATCTGACTGCTGATAGCACAGTGCTCTGGGGGCAAGTTTTTTGAAAAAAACGGTTAGAGGGGAAAATATAGATCTTCAGGGAGTACAACCAAGTCAGCCCCACATCGGTTTTGTTACAGACAGTTGTTTGTTGAAGGGGCTCAAGGGTCCTGGAGATGGTGGAACTTACTGAACCTTTCAAGGAGCACAGGTACCTTCAAATTAAAGTAAAAACATGGAAATCGGTGAATTGAGACAATCATTTTTCACTTTTATATCTCAGCAGCTGGTTCTGAGGGCAAGGTGTGTGGTACTTTGAGATTCCTTTTGTGAGTGCAAGCTGAGACCTGGGTTCTCCCTGCTTGACAGCCTCCAAATAGCATTGCTGATGTTTCACTGTAGCACTTCTCTGGCATGCTTCATAAATACGCCGACTTCATGTTTATGCTGGAGGATAATCATCGTTTTGTTTGACGGAAAACGTAGCGTGCGTTGTAAACGCTTGGCTTAAAGTTTAGTTTAGTCGTCGATGCAGAATTTGACTCTAAAAGACAACCGGGGAATATTAGGAATGAATGAAGGGTTCACCGTAGTGTGGTTTTGAGCAGTAAAATCAAAATAAAGATCGCGTGGAGACTCGGCGTGTGCAGTGCGTTCGGGAGCATTCGCTCAGACAGCAACACAAACGGGGAGGGCCATCAACCTGAACACGGCTGTCGGATGAACGAGTTGTGAGGCTTTTACAGCTTCAAGTTGGTCTTAACTCGACTTCTTCTCGGCTGTCTAATATGTTTCATAATGCAGAATAAAAGATGCAAAGCAATGTGGGGGATAAAAGAGGTGAACACACACACACACTTGGGCCTTACTGTGATTCGCTTCATGTCCAGCTGTTTGAGATGAAGCACACAGCGCAGGACGGCCTGCTTGTACCATGTCTCCAGGGCTACAGGATTCCCATCCAGCGTGAGCTCGGAAAGGGAGCACGAGTGTCCAACGCAGGCTAGCTGATCCAAACTAGACACAAAGGACAACAAACGTGTGTCTTTGAAAGAACTCAAGGGTCAAAGTTAAACAAAAATACACACAAGCTTGATAAAAAGACACAATGACCTTGCATAGGCTTTTATAAATTTCCCCAAGCCTACTGTATGTTTTGACTACTTTATTCTCCCCATCTTTGATCTGCATTGACAGAATGGAGTCGAGCTAAAACGAGACATGAAAAATGTGAAAAACAGCGGGCACACTGGCAGCTCGGCTTTACTCAGGGGGAGCAGCGAAAAGAAATAAAAATCGGGCACGCTGTATACATTACCCTGTGGCAAACAAAGACGTGAAAAAACCCACAGTGGGGATCAGTAAAGCTCACTGCTAAATCACGATAACAACCTTGATGAATCATTTGCCTGCAAACACTTCACTGTGCTACTGATACGAGCCGGGTTCCATTGCATGCAAAAGAGAGGCAGGCAACAAACCTCTAACTGTCAGAGCCCCACCAGTTCAAGTTAATAACTTATTAATAGTTACCCAACACTGAATTGACAAATGCAATATGCATTCTCCTGTACTTTATATGAAGGCAATGTTACTAAATTGTGTAATTCCTTTCTTTAAATGTAACTTCACTATGCCAAAATGTGAATATTATTTTCTAGAGTTTAGTTTGTTAGTTTAATATTTGCAAAGAAAAAATGTCAAAATTCCACATTTGGGGTAGACCTCTCTTCTGCACTGGAACTATTCATTGTTATATTGTGGGGCGTGGTTGAACGGCAACTTCTCATCAGTATTTCTGCCTGATTCACCAAGCAAGCAGCCCGAAGAAAAAATGAGAAATGAAGTTTCCCGTGAAGTGATAATAGCAAACAACGTCCCCCAGTTACTGTGTTCTGTCCTTCTACCTAGCAACAGAGCACAGCTGTTCCCCCATCAGCACTGAACAGTCTCTAAACACACATGGTTTCCCAATGCCTGGGGGGCATCCATTCAAGTAGTTTGGATGGAAACGCCCTCTACCAAAAGGTCATAATGGTGTCATGAAGAAGAAGGAGAGGAAGATACAAAAACACATGGAGTTTTGTTGAGCAATCACACATTACAAACTGTTTTGATCTATTGTGTGATAAAGAAGAACACAAATATAGACTATCTTTTCTTTGCCCGCTTATTTCTCCATCATGACTGAACGATGAGAGAATGCTGCAGACACCCGAGGAGACGTCAGGTCAGATCTATCGTGGCACAAGGTGACTATGGTCAGGGAGTCTAATGGACGCTGTCACCGCCCTGAATCCCACACACGGGGCCGCTCCTTTAAGCAGCCGGATTCAGTGGAGAGGGGAACTCTTGAGGAAGTGTGTAAATGCTGCTTCTTCTTAGATAACAGCCAATACGAACACATGCGTTATATCTACGTCAAATGGGTGTTTCCCTGCAGTGTGAGCCGGAGCCCGAGCCGCAACCGCATTTACCTGCCGGTGTTGTTACCGCGGAGAAAGGCCCCCTCAAACGGGGCACCCTTCCCCCCCTGGTCTGAGGGGGAAAACATAAACCAGACAGGTGAGGTGTTAGAACCGAAAGGGACCCGTAGAGTAGACCGCCCGATGAAGAAGGCCACATGATTCGCCGCTGTGCTAAGGGCTCCTATATCTATTACCATTCCTTGGTCCACCTAGAAGCTCTGCGGGACTCCAGCAACCGAGTATCCGCATACAATACGGGGCAGGCATTTTTCTCACGCACACACACACCCCCACGCAACGCGGCACCCTGCCTGGTCTGCACATGGAGAGGAGGGGCAGAGAGAGAGGGGGGGGGGGGAAATGAGGAGAGGGGGAGGGGAGAGAGAGAGTGTGTGCGCTGCGCTAATGCAGACATCGGCTGCTGCAGGAAGACGAACTTGAAATGCCACCAGAACCCGTTATACATCCAGACGCACAAGAACACACACACACAGTGTACCGCGTCAAGCGAGAACAATAGTTTGGGTGTGTAGAGCGGAACTGGCTGAGGGTGGGGGGGGGGGGTTTCTCATCCGGCAGGCAGAGTAAATCAATGCAGAATTTAGTGGGGCGGGGGAGCAGCAGCTGGCCGGCTGACAAGATGTAGATGATACACGTCAAAGCCACAATTACTCCAGCTAATAAGATGCTGTGTGTGTGTGTGTGTGTGCGCGCGTGTGCTTCGGTGGATGGCCTCCCAGAACCCAGGAACAGTCCAAATGAGCTGCGTCAGCAACCTCCCACCCCTCCTCCGCCCACACTGCAACCACCGCCTCCAGAACTCCACTCCACGGGAGAAGAGCCTATAGCTCCTCGGGCAGAACGCGGTGCAGCACTGCAGCACACAGCCGCGTCGCCACAAGAGTCCGCCTTCCCAGTACCGTACAACATTTGTGGTTTCGACCCAACGCCCTGAACGCGCACCTCTATATAAGCACAGCTGGCAACATCAGGGGCAATGAGAGAGAGATTTGTGACAGGTCTTTGTGCTGTGTTTGTATGTCATGGGATCATCTCCCCGGTTTGGTTTCATCTGGTGAGATCTTAGCACCCAATCACAATATATGGCAGGAACTTGTTGTTGAACGATTTATTTGCGAGCTGTATGCAAATATGGTTTCTTTTCATTCAGAATAATGTTTCGATAGCACATTGAACTATTACACAGTTTGCACTGATTACATTACGTAATGTTTCACTGTGCATCTTCTCTTCTTCAAAGAATACAAACTGCCAGTCATGTTAGCTCGAGCCTCCGGCACACTCACATTGTCTGAGTGCGTGTTCGTCCCTGCGTGGATGTCTGAGACTAAATATAGCAGCCTCGTCTCAGACACAATGACGTCACCATTGAGCCGATGCGCTGTACATCAATCCCTTTCCTTTTTGGGTTCAAACCCAGTTTGATTGGAACCAATCGGCGCAGAGGGTGCGATCTGAGAAGTTGCGCGGCCGCGTGGCTGTCCGCGCGTCAGCCCGCGGGTGCGCGTCTCCGTGGCTTAATGCGCCTCCCCGGCTGCGCCCTCCTCCCGCTGACAGCTCGCGTGTCTGCGCTCCTCGCGCTGCGCTCTGGCAGAGAGAGAACCCACACGCACGCACAGCCGCCTCTCGGCACCGCGGTCCGCTCAACACGACGGGGGGGCGCACGAGAGCTGCTATAACGCACAGGTACACAACGTGGATGCCCTTTGTCTTGTCTGTCAATGCTCCTGCAGACTACACAACTCTTCCAAACAAATGTAAAGTGCCTCACTTACCCAAAAAATGTCGCATTGCAAAGACCCACTTGTCACCTGCTACTAATTCAAGTGAGAAGGATCTGTCACTTTCTCATTGACTTCATTACAATCTGACGTCTTTTTGCGAAAGGAGGTCTCGCCCCCTAATGGCCATTAGACAGAATGCAAGTTTATGGCACTTCCATATTTGCTTCACTTTCCAAAAGCAGAGGCTTCTATGAATCAATGTAAAAATCCCTGTGGCGGCGGGGGCGGGGGAGGGGTGAGTAATGGGAAGAAGTTTTCAGCACAATGTTATTTTCTGGAAGCAGGAAACGACTTAGGGGATTTACATACAAATGAAGGGGCCTGTCTTGGCATGAGTTGTTCAGTGTATCTGATTAAAAAAAGGAACCGGAGGGGGGACTCCACGTTAAGAATATCAAATTTCTCTTTCCCTGAGCCAGAAAGTCAGAGGGACGTTGCGGGTAACAAGCCATGTCTCCCTAGGTAACGGCACAGGGATACATTTAACTACAGACCCACACCAAATATTCTATTGATGACCCCCCCCGTCCCCCCGTCCCACAACCTCACCAGTGCTGACACCCTGTTGTGTCGCAGGTTGAGTTCAGTCAAACAGTCCAGGCCCAGCAGGTTTTCCACTTTGGATATGCCGTTTCCCGCCAAGTTCAACGTTTGCAGCTCGCTCAGGTGGGACACGTTGTCTATCCTGCAGATCTGGGTGGAAGCACAGCGAGTCAAAGGTATTGCACATGTGACGTTTATAGATAATGATATTCTACGTATAGACAGACGCACAGATTTGAAGCGGGATTGGCAGGGCGGGACGAAAAGGGGAAAGATGGTTCAGATCTAGTTAGAGTTCTTTTGGTAAAGGCTTTTGGGTGCAAAGGGAGCCAAACTGCGGTCGCCTCCACTCTCCTTGCGGATGCCTGAGGCAGGCTGTGCAAAAGTTCTTGGGCTTTGGACAAGTTAGCACAGCCCTCCCAGGTAGTCCGAGATGTCTCGCAGGTTCATATGCGCAACAGCTGAAGACTTATAAAAAAAGAAATACACAGATCCACCGGAAAGCACAGTATGTGCTTTTTTCAGATTTCTTTTTTGAAGACGTTCAGACCAGCAGATATTCCTCTTAGTACTTTCTGAAATCTGGCATTCTGGTAATGTTGATTCAAATGATTTAAACGTTCAGAAAAAAAGACCACGCAGTGCGGCGGTGTGACTTCTTTGCTTTTTCTGACGCATGCACAAGTGTGGGTGTGCGTTTACAGGTGGACGGCGATAAACAATGGTCCATCAACTCAACCAGGTCCAGTCTGCTGACGCGTGCAGCGTGAGATCATCCCGCTGCGTTGAAAGGCCTCTCACGCTCATTCATCACACACATTAATGGGACAATGGCCCCTAACAGGTCAGAGAGGAATGCTTGTGTGGTCCAAATATCAGGATGAATGTGAAGCAGTAAATGTACCTCCTTGCCTTTGTTTTGGTGCTAGTATGTGGTTTGGATTTGGGACAAAACTTTCCCTTTAAACAACAGAAGAAAACACTTAAGAATGTGCCAAATCCTTGTGCTGGAGGGGTCGTCAATGACAGCAAAGTGTTTCAGATTGTGCTCGTGGGGAGTCTCCGTTCCAGCTTGGCCTCAACCCAAAGTGCTGTGATTATCACACATGAGTGATGAAGTCAAACTGAATTATGTCTGGATATCATTATTTCCACCATGGACACGGGCGGAAACAAACCTCTACTGCTCTGTGATGCTTCCCCCTTTGTTTTACAAACTCCTCAGGGCATTCTACGATCTATTCTGCGGGGGCTCCAGACAAACCGCTCAAGTGGAAAAAACACCAGCGCCAAACTTGAGATCGGGTATCCGACATTGTCAGGTCACATTATAAGCTCGGCCAAGTGTGCGTCAGAATCACGCTGCCAAAGAGAATGTCTCTTTGGATGGGAGCGGCGAGCCTCGCTGCTAGAAGATGGGAGGAAGACGGGATGACAGTGATGCACTGCTTGCGGTTAAAGCGTGCGCACAAAAAGGAAGGAGGGCGGGCAGCTGGTGTTCTACAGCCAAAAGCCAACAAACAACAACCGCCACCTCACCATTATTTTAATCCATTAAGCCATCGGTTCCCTCGCAGAGGTCACTCGGTTCACCATCGCGCTGCAACTCACAATACATTTGGGTGGTCGGGTCTGGCGAGTTTGTAAAACGTTGTGTAAAAGTTATTTAAATGCACAAAACAGGAGGTTTTGAGGTCAGTGGGGGAAAAGCAACCTGTCCTAAATGGAACAATGGATATATCATCTGCTCCCAACTCTCATTACCAAAGCCTGTACAAAAACATATAAAGAGACCAACGGCACAGTGAGCAGTTGTTGCATAGGGAGCTCATTCAAAGGGAAGCCAACATCAGAGCGGCTGGGAAGCCTGGCCAGGTCTCTGGAGGAGCTCTCCGAGGAGGGACGTGGGCGGCATGCAGGCCAAACACTAATTCATCCAAAGGTAACCGCTCCATTCCATCTTCCTTTCCGCTTCTGACGAGCTTTAGAGGTGAGCGAGCCAGCGTCCTATTGGGGAGGCTTAACAGGCAGCCCCCGATAACAGTTATAGACTCAAATTAATTGAAGAGCAATATAAAAGAGGCTTCAGCCCATCGATATTCCCGGTGGTGAAAACACAGGAAGGGTTGTTTTGGATGAACTATGTTGGTGCCACTGAGGAAATGGATGTGGGAGTCGCATAATAACCAGTAGGTTATGATAGTGTCCAAACACCCACCAGAGTTTAACAAGGCGCGTTCATTTCAAACGGAGAAGGACCTTTTTTGTTCAATCCATTTACGGAACAGAGCTGCACTATTTGAGAGGTGCTAAACAAGTGGTTACAACAATGGCTCTGAATAGAGCATCAGAGCCGGCCTGTTAGTCCTGCATATTCACGCTCAACACAAAATTGAGACGTGCCGTTACAGGATACGCAGCTGAGTGACCAAGAGCAAACACACTTGTGGTGTACGGAATGAGCAGTACCTGATTGTCATGCAAATCCAGGATGTTCAGTTGGGACAGGCTTCCCAAGCAGCATATCTCCCGGATTCTGAGAAGTGATATTGGAAGGGATTAGCAATCGATTATGGTATTGGAGGTATTTGCCCATGCGTTGAGAAAAAGTGATGGAACATGTATGAGTATGTATTGAATAGGTACCAAGCAAAGGACAGCCAACTGGCCCAGAAGCGTATTAAAAGGTTACATTCCCAGAAACCGAGTAATACTGTACTGAATTTCCAAGATCAAATGTCACCTAAGAATAAAAGGCTGGATTCCCTCAAAGAGTGACAATGGAAACCTAAATCAGCGGCATTCTTTACACTTCTAGAACCACATAGGGTGGCTAGGGAAAAGAGGACAGAAAAGATAAATAGATAAATTAGACAACAAGTTGTCTGAAAGATCTTGATGTCTTGTCACGCTGATTCCTGCCGTCCATTTGAATTACCGATTGCTAACATCCTAAATTAATGCTCCACGAAATAAACTGGGCCCGAGCTGCCAGGCACTGTATGGCACAAGTATATAAAATGAATAATAAACCTTACATGCAAACAACGCAATGTATTTTATAACCTATAAGCTACTTTTATTTTACATTAAACCAAAGATCTCCAGATGTTAAATTAAAGAACAATTTGTATGCAAATGTATGCGTATGCAGGTCATGTCTTTGCAATGTCACCTACTCTCCAACATGTGCTACCTTAAATATAAACTGTAATACGGCCTGTATAACAGAGGCAATTTGGTTTTAAATTCCTGCGTTGGTTTCAATTTGGATCCAATGATGACGACTCACCTGTTCTTCCCCAGATTAAGGATCCGTAAAGATCTCAGCGATTCAAGGCCAGTCATTCCAGAGATGTGATTGTCATACAGGTTCAGGAAAACAAGCTGTTGCAGATGTGACAGATGCCGGATCCCCGTAATTTGATTGTGCTGGAGGTTGAGATGCTGCAGTTCATCCATAATGCCCAGCTGGGGGCATTCCTCCAGACAGCGCCTGGAAATGTGTAAAAGAACAGTTTTTGCATGAATTTGGGTTCTTTTTGGGAGACAACGGCTGTATTTTTTAACTTAAAGGCGAGGGATTTCATTAAGGAAATTACTGATTTAACATCTGACTGTACGTTTATTGATTGATCTATAACTGCTCTGTCACCGATTAATCAGCAAACACACCTCTCTTGGTGGTTATTCAAAGGGACTTTGCTGCTCCCTTGTGGCAATCTGGAGCGCTTGCCATTTAAGTGAAAGTACCATCACTTCTTCTGTAAATACTGTGACAAACATTACTTAAAAAAACTAACAAAGGCTAAAGAACAACAATGCAAGTAAGGATCCGTAGGGCTGCCACTGCCCATGATGTGTTAGTCATTCATCCAGATTACAGTGACAACAAAAATTACAAATTCTAATCTGTAAAAAGAAAATATTTATTTAAACGAAAGAGCCCAGAAGTACCTGTCCATGTCGATTCGTTGAAAACTGGATGCAAAACTGTCACAGGATGATCGAGGAAAGGGAAAACCAGGGACTGCATTGAATTTAAATCCTCCCGAGCAACCTGATGAAGACATTAAACACCGAGTTCAGCATATATTAAATAACAGTGCATTGCAAACTACACGACAATAAAGCACACGATTCCGCAATAGTAAAGTAGTAAAGTAGTTTTAGAATTTCCTAACATTTTCCATTATATATCTGTAGTCACTGGCAGATGAAGGCCACCTGTTCTCTGCAGAGAGAACAAAGTGTCTTTGTTACTAATTGGAGTCAGAGTGTGCAAACGGACTGTTTTGATCTCACCTGGGTCGCACGGAGGCGTGTTCTTTTCTCCCTGAGAGTCAGTCTGTAACACGGTAAACTACGGATGGAAAAGCACTCAATGGAGGAGAGTTCAGGACATTCCGCACAAGTGTCGTCTTACATGTTCTTTGACACGACTCACCGTCTTGTGGGCTCTCTCCGGCTTCGACTTGACACTTGTGAGGTGCAACTTGCAGCTGTTGACCTGAAGAAAAAAAAAACAATTACGCGCACATTAACTTTAAAGCTAACTTTAAGCTAACTTAACTGTAGGCCTACATGGTTAGCCCATTAGACTTTCAAGCGAGGTTAAGAGTGTATTAAATGTGGTATTTACCATGGGAGCGAGGGACCCCCATCTCCCGTTGACTCTGTTGTGTTTTTGAGATCGCGTGGTTCTGCCCTCCACTCGCTCCGACTCCATTTATGTTAGTTATCGGTAATGTTTGCTAACACCAACTTTGCCCAAAAAAAAGCTCTACTTCATTCGCGTTACTAACTTTACCTTCACGAATATTTCAATAAGAATAAGCGATTTAATTTGACAAAACCGTAAAAAGCAAAGATTTGTTATTCGAAAACCAATATTCATCAGACGCAACAAACTTCTTCAGGAGTCATGCCTCGTTGCCGAGGCAACGATGGGGTTGCTAGGTAACGCTCACTTCCGGTGTCACTGAAAAGCGCTCCGCAGCGAAACTACATGAGGACCGGTAGTTTTTCAGACTGCAAACGTGTGAGAGTCTGAGAGCTTGAAACGGGACAGCACCATGACAATATCTGATATTAAATGGTTGATTAATAAATAATTAAATATCGACTGACTTCATGTAGGTTTTTTCCCATCTTTTATCCTTAATCTTTAATATGTATACATTTTAATATGACTCGACACAAGGGCGTAACCATGGACCTTGGGGGGGGTCCAAATGAATACTCTTCCCCATAATTTAGACATAATATATAACGGATATCTGAGCATGAACGCCACTATATTTTACATATTTTCTGCTGTATATTGGGGGGGGACACGACCCCCCCCCCCAAAGAAAGCGTGGCCAGCCTTTGACTCGACACACAAGAGCCTTTCTCTTGTTTACCCCCTTTTTTTACGTCTCGATGCTTTCACTGGTTATCCCATTTTTAAAGTCACATCCCAATGACTTGTGGGTAATTCCCTCAGGGCAACGTCAGCGTCCAATGCCGACTTGGTGAAAGGGTTCATAAAGGGCTCAAAATTTCTGCCTGAGAGCCCTCAAACACTCGGCGGTGCGACAGAACTAAACCCTCACAAAGTTGGCGGGAGAGCCTCAAAGCCTGTGAGTCCGTAAGGGTGCAGGATGGGAGAATTGGGCCGTAGTTTTCTGTGTGGACTGTACCTGGCAGATAAGGCCTAACATGCGTAAAGTATAGAGTAGTGGGCAGAACAGTGCTTAGAAGGGGCCAACAGCTCATAACGCTAGCGCCCCCCCCTCTCCCCCCTGCTGTCACTGTGCATCACACTAAGGTTCATCCTCAGTTAAACAGGTCAAAGGTAAAAAAGGCCCAGCACCCAATCCCAGACGCCTAATCGGAATACACCTACTACAGAATAAACAAATGTTGGGATGTACACAGTGGTCTAAGTGAACACTAGTGGCCTCTGCTTTCGTCAGTCGTGTTTACCTTTAAGGTGTGGGTGAAGTCCTCGTTTTCTGGCAACACAGATAAACAAGAGTAATCATTTCACAATTAGAATGAATATTGGACATGGGAAAACTGACGGCGTTTTAACTAAATGCCTGAATATAAGGCGATTATAGCCCACTGGGTAACACTGTCCGACAAAACGTGCTGGCAGATGATTTTCCTTGAACTCTGTCCCAGCCTAATTTTAAACATGATTAACATGAAACACCTCAAAAAGCAAGCAATTACTTGTACCTGCCCTTGACAACATTTCATTTTGACTTGAGTCGCACTCAGCAGTCTGGATGAAATGGGTGTAACGCTGGGGCAAGAAATTGCTATGATAATGAGCACAGGAACATTAACGACAAGCTTTCTCACAGTGCACATTTTGCTATTAGAGAGAAAGGCACAGGGGCAACAAATTACACTAATGAGGGCTCCGTTCCAGTTAGGGGTGTCGGCAAAGACACGACTGTGAGTCACTTGCATTGCTTAGATACCTTGAATTATCTTTGCTTATTCATTCTCGTAATTAGCCTGTGGTCACCAAAGCTTAAAATCCACCATGACTGAGATTCTCTGTGCATTTGACTCTATGTTAATCCTAAGCATGTATATATATGTATATGTATATACGTGTGCGTGTGTGTGTGGGCGACTCTGGCTCAGGGTTAGATCAGTGGTGCAGTAAGAGGATTGGCGGTTCGATCCCCGGGTCCGCTAATCCATGTTTACGTGTCCTTGGGGCAAGACACGAACAAACGGGAGAGAATGCTGACATGTGGAGTTAAAGCGCTCGGCGTGCTGGCAAGACAAGGAGAGCACTACACGAGTATGGACCATTTATCAAATGTATGGTAAATTTGTATAGGTGGTAAATTGTAATGGGAAGAATGAGTCAGCAAAGAAGAATTCCAAAGTATCTGAAGAACCCAAGTGAGTCACAGCCAACAGAACAGAGCCATCATGAGAGTCATGTTTTCCTTTAATGACAAAACATACATGTGTAGAAGTTATACTTCATCTCATGCAATGAACTGCAAGATATATATTTTTTTAATCATACAATGTGAGTTTCTGGATTTTTGTCACTATACTCAGATTTTTGTCATATATAGGCTATATATATATATATATATACATATACAGTACCAGTCAAGTTCGGACCAAATTTTTGACTGGTACTGTATATATCAATTCTTTGTAATGCCATTGTCTTTTGCTCCTCCTCGATCCTTTTTGTTTGCTTTATTTCCAAAATAAGTCACGTGACACTCATTTAATCTCAGCCAGTATAACCACAGAACACCAAATGGGGTAAAGTAGATTGTGATTCTGTATTGTCAGCCTTTTCAATCTGGCAGTAATGAGCAGTTGCTCAGAGAACACAGGTCCATATTCATCAAAAGGACATCCCACACACTGCCTGTCACAATCTATTCACGAGGCAAAGGCTGACACATTGGATGGGGGGGTGATCATCAACCGTTTGTATGGCGGGCCATTTTGACTAAAGTACAATGTTGCAGTTACGTATAGATATGTCTTCTTTTAAAGCTTCGCTTAACATATGTGAGCCGGAGGAATGGAAATGACTTTGTTTTGGACGCGGGGACTCCAGAATAATGCATATTCAGTCTGTGTTTGATATACAGCAAAGAAATAAAGATATATATTGTTGGTTGTAGAAAGAAAACTCCACACTGGAATTCTTTTTGGAATGAGAAATGAAAGAATAAACATGGTGTAATTGCACTAGCATGGCTGATTTGTCGGCAGCAGCACAGCATGACTCCTGCCTTCACTGTGAGGGGACCTTTAGATGTCACCACAGGAACATTTCAAGAAAACGCATTCACATTTTTATATTTGTCATACCAGACCAGCACGCAAGTTGGAAACAAGGATTACTTGGGGTTAAGGATTGCAAGCTCCAGTTCTTTATTCATGTAACACGCAGAGACTTGAGGAGGAAACAGCATGGTTACACTGGTTTAACCCTTAGTTGTCGCTTCTCAGTAACCCATTTCTCCAGTAACCCAGTGTACATGAGAGAAAGGATCAGCAGCGCAAGAGACACGTTGTTTTTATGTTTTTTTTTAAATTATTTTGATTTAATGAATGCAAGATCTTTCTTTTATTGTAATCAATGACATCTGTGATTATTAAAAATGTATGTGTCTAAATTTCCCTTGTTTTGGCTGCCAGAGATGGGGGTTGCAAGTGTTTCCTCCGAGCCTCGACAACCATCCCCCATTTATTGCAGCCAATACTCATGGAGGTAAGAAATAGAGAAAATGGGGAAACAGATTGGAGGCCATGGCCCCCTTCCATCTGCCAGGTCACACCGTGTCAATAATATCAAGCTCAGCAAAGACAAAAGAGAGGAGGGCTTCTGCGACTGGGGATGAACAACCATCGCTTCCAGTGAGCTAAAGCTTTAAAACGAATCTTTGTTAAAAGGCCTACATAATTGGACTAATTTATTAATAATTACTAATATGACTGAAGCCTAAAAGAACACAAAGGATAACACAACCAGGGACTATAATTCCCTTGATGCAACACAATGGCGTCTTTTTACGTTGAGCCTGATTACATCGTTGGGTGGAAGTAACCCTGACGACATCATCGGGGTATTAATGTCAGACTTTAGAGAGCTTCAGTCAGGGCCAGACGGCCACATAGGACATACACAACTCTTTCACAGGTTGAGAGCTCCCCGTGCCATTACAATGGTGTTTGTGTGTGTCTGTGTGTGGAGGAGCCCTTTGAGACATTTCAATCCACACCACAAATGCAAATCACAGGGTGGCGCTGGATGAAAAGTCAGTGGATCAGCAATGTCACTACCAACAGTTATTGAGATATTTCAGTCTGCACCAGAGTGGCGGAATTAACGTTTACAGTCATGCAGCACGATTTGTCTCAGCATTTGAGATATTATAATGAATTCAATTAAAAAAAACAGAGGAATAGACACAAAAACCTTTTAGCATGGCTGCATTTATCTTTTGCAAATGAGGGTGCTTAAATATCGGAGCTTAAGTACTGAACAGTGAAATATTACACAAGGAGATATCAGTCCTAAAGGTTGTACACAGATTCTCTCCCAAGATAGATAGTCAAAGCCGGTAAGACTCATGTGGGCTTCAACTCCACTAACACAGCACTATAAACATTCAAGTTTATTCAAATAGAATGTTCCAGATCCCTCAGGAAAGCAAAGGGAAAGCAAAGGGACAAGAGAATGGCAAATAAAGAGGAAGGAAAAGGGCAATCCTCTGGAGAATCGTCCTTAGGAGAGGCCAGCGTCTCCTTGGAGGGGTTTGGTGACGCAAAGGGAGCCAGAAGTCGGAAAACTGTAATTATGCAAATTAGAGGAAAAAAGCTCTGGGAGGGCCTTCGGAATGGCAGTGAGTTTCCAGCTAGTACTGAAACATTTGAATTAGTGCCAATACAACAGCCCTGTCATGCATCCTGTTTGTCTACATGGACTAAATTGTGGACACATCCTTTAACGCACATTTTTTGTGGATCCCTTTACCCGTGCAAGGAGGCCACCCGTGTCAAACTGGGACGGTTTGAAAAGAGGAAGCGATTTGCGATGCAACCCACAGGTGCTTTCAGTACAGTCCTGACCTCACTTCCTGTGCTCGCTGTTTCACAACAATCTAGGGGTTGTATCGAAGACAGTGGAAATGAGCTTCTTGAGAGAATATACTGCATTTCCTCAGTAGGAAACTAAATGCCTCAGCTTAGCTGGTGCCAATCTCTTCCTCAAAGTACCCTCCTTCTCTCACTCATTGTTTCTCTCTCTTACCCTCCATGTTGCATTGTACACAAACTGGAGCGTTGTATGGCATGTGGTGCAGGGAATGAGTCAGACTGCCCACCAGCTGTGAGCCTTGCTTGCCAGTGGGAAGGAATTAAAGATATTCCGTGCAGGGCAGGCAACAGCCGACAACACTGGAGTGGGTGATTTACAAGGCTATCAGGGTGGAGGCCAACAACAAGCGAGGACTACGGACCAAAGGTACGGGACACATTCAAGGTGACTGTACAATAATAATTATGCTCTCACTGAAACACTTACATATGCCGCTCTTGTGCTGCAAATCACCAGCAATGAAAGCAGTGATTGTGAAGGGGAAACTCCATCCACGCCTATACTTTTAAGGCCCAAATTGTAATTGGGAGTATGTGCATTGGCCAAGAGCACAAGGGCCACAACCACCATTAAGAACACCAAAGTCATGGGCCCACTGTCTGTGGGAGTTTTTCATATATGAGGGTGTTTGCATCACACAATATCCGGGTGTATGATAGGTCAAGGTTTGGGTTGTTTCCTCCATTGGTGACTTTAAATATAAGAAAATGATGCCATTTATAGACTAAAACTGTTTCCCAATATATATACTTAGCTTTACCGATTTTCAGTCAAATAAATGAAAGTATATAGAACGTTATACACATTTAGATCATTGTTTAGCGAGATTTATGGAGATTTTGTCAAAAACAGAATTCACTTTTTGCCATTTCTTTTTAGAAAAGGGCGGGTCAAACTTCCTCCAGGCAGGGAGAATAATGGGTATATTTTTAAACATCTCATTTTTCTCCATGTCTTTTAATTTAACCTAACGTTTGCTGCTCTTTTATTTCGACTTACGTGGCCTACTATTGTCCTTCCTTCCTTCCTTCCTTTAGGCTACAGGCTAAAGTATTGTACTCGCACCAGACGCTGGAGCCTATTATCCAATTAGCGGCGTTAGAGAAAGGCTCGTCCTTGACACGGCTGTTTCCCAATTAGCGAGGAGCACGTGCATTTACTCGCTTACTTAGTGCCGCGCTAACGGGTCATCCCTGCCCTCCCAGCACGAGACGACACTCTGTCCGTCCCAAAACATATTTAAAAAACAAAAACAACAACAACAAACCCAACAACCCCCGTTTGTATGAAAGCAAAAACCGAGAAGCGCGAGAGAGGAATATGCAGGCGTTGGTGAACGCCTTCCTGCGCTGCCTCTCCTTCCTCTTGCCTCCCTCTTGGCTTTGTGTCGGCTTCTGCTTGTGGGCTGGGAATGAGCGCGAGGAGACGCTGCAGCCGCGGCCCAATCCCCGAGCGCGTTTCAAAAGCAGAAAGCCTCTCGCGTATGAGGAAGTGGCAGCACTAGCAGCGCCAGAAGCCCGAGGAGGCTCCAGTCCGTCGGTCTCGCCCGCTCCGCCAGGCTGCGTCTCGCCGGCTGCCACGAGCCCCGCTGCTCCTCAGGGCCCTCCGTCGGGTCGGATCTGGATCGGGGGCCTCTGGCGAGCCGTGGAGCGTGTCCTCGGAGCCCCCTGGGTCCTGGTCCGCCATCGCTGGTGCCCGAAGACGAAGCGTCGCGCGGCTTTACGCGCGCCGTATCCTGCCTGCGCCTTCGCGTCGAGTAAGATTCAAAGCGGCCAGGGAGGCGCCGCCGGGGCCGGGGAAGGGGAAGGGGACGGAGCGGGTGGAGGCACCTCGACGCGCTCGGGGAACATGAGCGGGTCCGCGGAGAACCCCGACCCGAACCCGGGGGAGCGCGTGCCGGATGCGTCATCGGGCTCCGATGAGGTAATCAACGTGGATCAGCACACGCCGGAGATGGGGACGGTGACGATCACGGTGGCCATTCAGGCGGCGGAGGACGAGGAGCCGGAGGAAGTGTCCGCCAATATTATTGACTTCCTCGGAGGCAGCTGCAGTGAGGACGAATTCGGACGACATGACAAATCCAGGTTGGACTCATTTGCTACTTTTGCTTATTTTTGCTTATTTTTATCAGTTCGTGGTGCCCGTGGTAGACCATGCGTGTGTCCTACTGATGGAGCCTGAGAACTGTTCATTGATGCGAGCAGGTAGGTTCCGTAAAGGTTGTAGAATGAAGAACACCCCCCACGCCCCGCCAAGGAACCCCAGCAGTCATTTCTGCGTGCAATATTTGTATTTAACACTGCCCGGCCCATAACTTCAGCGTGTGAACTGCGAGTGGGTGCAGTTGGGATTTAGCGTCACTGAAAGAATGCCAAGCACGTTGGGGGGGCAATGCATAGAAAATGTTGCGCAAATACAGACGCGTTATCCCGACGGGTGTATTGAGGCGATGACAATAGGCGGCGCCGCAATGTGCGGGGAGGACAATGGGAGCTTCACCACAGAGGAGGCGCACCACGCACACCCACTTACACGCTCGAGTGTTTTTAGCCACCTGTAGGACGCGTGGTGCAGAATGGAGACGTCAAAGAGATAAAGGGATGACACCCTTCACTGTAACCTAATTCCCCTGCGTCACGCCCGCGCTATTTTTATCCTCCGGCCAATAAGTTTACCTCCACGGGAACTGCGTGCGCAAAGAGTGAGTCAGTGATGGAAAGGTCAATGGGGGGGGGGGGGGGGGGTTGGGTTTGTGCTGCAGGTCACACTTTTACTGCTCTGGTAAACCTTCTGGCACCAAGACAGTCTGACCCGCCTGGCCTTCTCCCAACTGGATGTATTTTGACTTGAATCCCTAAACACCTGATGGTGAAGCTTGCTTTGGAGCAGCAAAGTGCACGTTGTGAGCCAGAAAACCAGTCCTCCGAGTGCTCTAGTTCTACTTCATTCACGGCCTACTATAAAAAGAGGGAGGGAAAAAAACAGCCTCAACATTTCTGCTGTGATTTTTAATTTACACATTAAACTGATCCTGCGTGCTGACAGTTGACAGCTCTTTTTAACAGCTTGGCTTGTCTTTTAATTTTTTTTTTTTAATCTGAATTACTGGGGAAGAGGTGGTCAGGCTGGACTTGCAAGCTGTTGACTCGGTGTGTCCTGGTGGAGGAGGTGACTCATCCACAAAATCTCCGACCCCTCACTCTTAATGCGCCTCGCTACCTGACTGCCGCTTCAGCCGGGCGTGAGATCAAGATGTGCCTGAAAAGGCTTCGGCCCCAGTGCTCTTTGTACATTTTGTAAGTTATTGCTTTCTGAGAGACTCCCATATTCTGCGTGGGAGGGAGAGCCTGTGATTTTGACGACCTACAGATGGCGAGGTCTTGGCGGTTTTGGGACTCGGGGGGTTGAGGTCTGGCGTGCTGAGGCACGGTGACTACACACAGCCAGATTGAGGATGAGAGAGCACTTGTAAGTGGCTCATAAAGTCAAGCGAAATTGGTGAACTGTTGCAGGTGATTTAAGACGTTAGACTGGCATTTCAGTGATGTCCGAGGTTCTAATGCGTGTCTTGCCTCCCCGCCACCACAAACGCACAGCGGCGCCGGCACCAGCGGAGGCGAGTTGGAGGAGGACAGCTGGCAGCCGCCGGACACGGAGGTCACCCAGAAGCTGGTCGCTCAGATCGAGTACTACTTGTCCGACGAGAACCTGGAGCACGACGCCTTCCTGCTAAAGCACGTCCGACGCAACAAGCTGGGCTTCGTCAGCGTCAAGTTGCTCACGTCGTTCAAAAAGGTAACTATGGTTCCAACGTTCTTGGGTGTAGTGGGGGAAACGGGAAGTTGTCCCAATGAGGCTGACGCACACGATTATTGCTAGTTCGGCCCAAACTAGTCTACACACCACATGCTTTAATGACCTGAGATTGTGCCTTTATGGTGTAATTAATATTATTTTATTATGTGTACAATGAGAAAAGTGGAAAGTTGAAAGTGTCGCTAAACAGAAGGGGAAGAGGAACCTGGTAAAAGTGTTTGTTTTAAATCCCTTGTGCCTCATTGACATTGACGGCGGTTTCTGATTTGTATGTGATTAGCTGCCGGGACGCAATGCTTTTCTCACATTGATTCACACCAGCTGGTACTTCAGGCCCATGCATGGAGATTTGGTAGTCTCAGTGTTTATGGCACTAGGGATCCGAGGCACTGCGCACCCACTTGTTTTTAAAATAAACAAGGACTCTCATACGAGGCGACTCATTTTAAACCTGAGCAAATTGCACAGCGGTGAGCTGAGCGATCTGTTGAGGCAAAGATGTTTGGAGATATCGATTCAGGAAGTACGACTGAAAGGAAGGCAGTGCGCTCTGCTGCAGGGCCTGATTGTTGAGCCATTTGTCATTAGACTGATTCATGATAACCCGCAAAGAGAAGCGATTGCCGGGATCAATGGTCGGGCTAATGGTTGTGAGAGGGCCCTCTTGGACTCCTCTGCAGCTCTCCCATGTAACGCGAGCGCCGTCTCTTTTGCAGGTAAAACACTTGACTCGAGACTGGAGGACAACCGCTTACGCTCTGAGACACTCCGGTGTGCTCGAGCTGAACGACGAGGGGCGAAAGGTGCGCCGCAAAACCGCAGTGCCGGTGTTTGCCAGCGAGTCGTTGCCCAGCCGCATGCTGCTGCTAAGTGATCTGCAGAGATGGCCGGAGCTGGCAGCTCTCACTGTAGATAATGGAGGAGGCAGCGAGGGAGGAGCTACTCTGCAGGAGCAGCTGATGAAGCTGCTGTTGAAGGAGTTCGGGGCGTACGGCACCATCGCCTCCGTCAGGGTGCTGAAACCCGGGAAGGACCTGCCGGCCGACCTGAAGAGGCTGAGCAGCCGCTACACTCAGCTGGGCGCCGAGGAGTGCGCCATCGTGGAGTTCGAGGAGGTGGAGGCGGCCGTCAAGGCCAACGAAGCCACGGGCAGCGACGACGGCGGCGCCGGTTCGCTGGGGTTGAAGTTGGTCCTGATCGGCACCAAGCCGCCCAAGAAGAAGGTGCCCAAGGAGCGGCCCCGGGAGGAAGGGGGCATGCGGAAGAGCCGCTCGCTTAACAGCAGGGTGCGAGAGCTCCAGTACCACGGCGACGACTCGGCCTGCAGCTCCTCTGAGACGGAGAGCAACCCCACGTCCCCGCGGCTGGCCAGGAAGTCCCAGTCCTGCAACAAGCTCAGCCCGACCACCGCGGCCCTCAACGTCCAGAACAATCACCTCAGCCCCAGCATGTCGCCGCGCAACAGTCCCTGGTCGAGCCCCCGCGCCAGCCCCAGTTCTCAGCGCAAGTCCCCCCATTCCCACAAGTCTCCGTTGGCCAGCGAGGGCAGATTGAGCCCGGAGGGCGGGCGCCGCTGGGCAGACTACTCCTCGGACAGTAGCCTCACCCCCTCGGGGAGCCCGTGGGTTCAGCGGCGCAAGCAGGTGGCGTCACAGGAGAGCAGCCCGGTGGGGAGCCCGATGATGGGTCGGAAGATGCAGAACGCCGACGGCCTGCCGCCGGGGGTCACCAGGCTGCCCCGGGGTCCTGACGGAACCCGCGGCTTTCACTGTGTCTCTGTTGCCGAGCGAGGAAAGACTGCGGCTACTCAGACTTGATATGTGTACATTCCTTAACCCCCCGCCCCGCCCCTCCAAAAGAAATCTATTTGAGCTGTTCTTGGCGATGGCGCTCAGTCCCCACCCTGCATTCAAGACTGTGTAGATATGTTTTTCTTCAGTGTTTTTCTTTCCTCGTTATATTTTTATACAATGTTTTGAGTTACTATGGTAACATTACTGGTTTACTAATGGGAATTTGAGTGAATGTGAATTGATATTGCTTTGAATGGGACAGCATCACCCCCATTGCTGTCTAAACGTCCTCTGCATGGGGTGGGGGTATTCCACTTTTTTTTTGTTTTAATTGAAGTGTCTTGTGTGTAAAAGCTCACATCTGTGGATGGTATATAAATGTTAAGTGGTACCGGCACATGGACTTGATAGAGATATCACCATATGCCTTTTCTGTGTTTGTCTACTGTGAGTTTATTTTTTACTTTTACATACTATTTAAAACCGAGGCCATAATTGCTCCACTGCCATAAAGGTTGGCTAGTTAAATCGGGACCTATTTAGTTTTTAATTTGATTTCAATTTTATTTTCTGTACGCTTTGGCACTAAGTTGGGAAGGCTCCATTCCCCTGTACATGTTAAGTTGTCTGGCAGTTAGCTGCTGTATTTATTTTTTAGCTTTATTTTCTCTGAATCTGGTTATCAGTCTGAGCTCACACTGAGGTTTGAGGGATGTTCGGTCAGGCAGAAGAAAGAAATGCGTTCCTGCCTTTCCATCTGAGCTGGGGTATTTGTACAATGCAATTCCTATTGTACAAATAAATCACTAAAACTGCAATTGACCAGACTCTCAGTTTATTTTGTTTGTGACATCTCGCCCATGAGCAATCCCCTTTTGATTTCAATATGCAAGTGAGTTTTCAGTGATTGTTGCCGTGCCAAGACTAGAAGCGTCTCCACACGTAAGGGAGGATTGGCCCTCTGGCGTTTTTATGGCTGCACAGATGGGAAGCGAGAGAGGGATTATTAACTCCATCAAACGTAGCGGACCAGTTGCACATCTATTCACATTGTGTTTCCCTGCCTGGCAGTGAAAAACATTGCTCTTTTTTATTTTATTTTTTTTTTACATTTAGAAATTTCACACACGGGCGTAGACTTATTTTTTGCCATTGACCTGACAACCTCTGTCACAATGTCTACAAATGTTCCAGGGTACATTACGGTACAACTGGTACCTTAAGTATTCACCTCAATTCAACATGTAGCACAGGCCTTTTTCTTTCCCCCAAATTCTTTTTATATAAACTGCAATTGCGGCTCAATAAGTGGATAGGTGGCACATCTGGACAACCTCATCTGTTGTGCAACCTCTGTCACGTTGCATAAAAGTCAACAATTTTCGAGTCTTGCCACACGTCAGTGGTTGCGGGTCAGGTTCTGAATTGGAGTGTGATTGTTGTGAACAAAGCACATTCCTGTTGGCTTTAGCTTTGTTTTCTTGCATAACACGTGTTCTTCAGAATGCAGCAGAGCCTCTACGATTTCGCTGTATTTCTTTTTTTTTTGCTGCCTTTGTGAGCCGCCTTTTCACCGGAGGAGCCTCCCCGCGGTACAGCGCTGCCACCTGAGGCCGCTTGCTGGGGATCGGGGGGTGGGGTGCTTTCTGCTCATGTGCAGTGTTTGACTTTATATGGTGACCTGCATCAGTCTCCTTTCATGCCTTCTGGCAAAAATTATTGGCCCAGATGCCAGAAGGGATGTGTAGCAGATCTTCTTGCACCCTTCCACTTTTCAGTTGCATTTTTGCAAACTTATTCGTAGGAGCTGTTCAGCCTTCAACGAACGATGTGACTTTTTACACAGTATTGTACGCATGGAGTCGAGCAGATGCTCATTTAGTTTTATATTCATGGCACAATTTAGATCCTGTAGAATTTTCATTTAATTGGTACTCTGTGCTGATTACTGTCCAATAAATGATATCACGCTTCCAATTGTGTGTTGCAACAACAAAAACATGAATGGTGACGAATCCATTTTTTTTTCATTTTCTTTCAAACGCCCACCAGCCAGCGTCCAGATGTGAGAGGCGGCAGCTCGCATGTCTGGAGAGTTGTGAGACTTTTGTTGATGCGGTTGCAGCATTCTGTTGATCTGCTTTGTACTTAGTTTATCTCCTGTTGGAGGTGGACATAATGAGAGTGCACACAGGAGGGGGCGGGGGGTCAGAACCCATAGTCCCCACATTCAGAGCGGTGAAGTGGTGCACGGGGCGAATAAATCTGTTCTCTTCACAGGATTAGCAATTCAAAATCAGGACGTCGTGACAGACGATATTTGCGCTGGACCCCCGATGTCTTCATTGTAATAAAGACTGTTTTGGATAAGTAGAGCCTAATTGAACTATTATCCTCATGAGACAAGGGAAATGGAGATAGCATAAAGGGGGATAATGAAGAACCTTGTCATTATTTGTAATTAGGCCGTTGCCATTGATGTATGAATGGTAATGTATTTAGTGCATTAGTTATTACCATATAGGCCAGACTTTATTTTTTCTTCTTCTTCCATAATCGTTAAACCAGGTTATAAAACCTGTTTAGAATTTTCGTTAACGGCATTGTGCATTGAGCCGTTCATGTACAAAAGACGTACATCTTATAAATTAGTTTTAATACATGTACCATACAATGGTTTACCCAATTTCACATGTAAACAGGCAGATGGATACATCTGCGATGAGTATATAACCACAGTAGTAGGCAGACATCATAATATTGAATATCTGTTTTTGTTGCAAATTTAAAAAAAATAGTTTACAAACTGCTTTGCCCTCCAAAACAGGACAAACTAAATGTCCAACAGATCTGAAAATCAGAAAAATACAGCAACACGTAATCTTTTGCATTGAAGGGCTCCCAAGATGCTTTAAAAGTGAGCAGCAAAATCTTTTTTTAATAATTGTTAGAACTAACAGGGAGCCAAAGTACAGAAGCCGGGGTTGCGGAGCAATGACGTCATCTATTAATACCAGTGAGGGGCCCAGCTGCTGCTGGTCTGAAACAGCTGGGCGCGCGAGAGCGAGGAGGAAGTCTCGAGTAGATTAAAAGCAGGGGCGAGTTTTCTTTGGAGAGGGTTCTGATTCAAAGGAAACAACTTTTCTTGGATTTTAAGCTTGAATCGTAAATAGGCGGCATGGAAGTACCGCGCAACGCTGCCAAAAGGTCAGAAGAAAACAAGAAGAAAATGTCCTCTTGAATAGAGGGGAGCGTTTCACGTCTCCGCCTCGACTGGGGAGTGTACGTCACACACGGCTACGTCGGTCGGTGGGCGGGGGTTCGTTTGAGGAGCGAGCGATAGGGTGGAGTAACTGTACACCAGCCAATTGGAAAAGTCGACACAGAAACCCAAGAAGTTACTCGAAAGAAAATTATTATTTTTCTTCTTTTTTTCATAACCTCACATTCTGTAACGTGAGCACGGGGGTTTCTACGGAAAGCAGCGCCCCCCCCTCTTCCCTCCCTCACGCAGGCTTCTCGCACCCCTCTGAGTTCAACGTGAGAAGAGGAACCGGCCTACATTAGACCTCTGCATTCCAACAGCGTTCAGTGAGGAGGCCCGAGCTCACGTCCCATTGGAACATCCGTCCCCATCTCTAAAAGCGATGAGCTGCTGACCTCTGACCTCCAATCAGGGATCAACAGTGGTGCTTATTACGTTTCATTTCTGCTCTTCTGCTTTACAGAATATCTCAGTATCCACGGACGACCTATTTGTACTGCAAGCACAATTATACACACACACACACACACACACACACACACACACACACACACACAAATTGACGTCAAATTGAACAGTTTTATTAACATAACTTAAAAAAAAGATCTTTTACAGTGTGAAACAGTTGCCCTGACACTGAAAACAGAAAAACATATTTACATAAAGGATGAGCCCATGTTGTTTCACGCAGACTGGAGCTAATGTGTAAAATGATAATCAGATAAAAAAGCAACTGGATATCTTTGATATACACACATACATCTCTGACACAGGAAATCACAAGTGACTGCAGTTTCTTAGTGCAACACATTTCAAGGGTTTCAATACGTAGACAGATTATTATCTCCGTTTCCCAAAAAGGAGAAAAAAATATGACTACACGTTGGTGCAGGTCACGACAGAAATGAGTTATTCCCCCTCGCACTTCTTTCTGGTCCTCTTAAAAGATCCAGAATGAATGTACAGTAGCTCTGTTTTTTTTTTTTTACTATATATGAACTTTATTGACAACATTTCATTTCCCAACATTTAAGCTTACGAAAAGGAATGGTATCATTGGGCAATACCGTAAGGCGATTTCTTACAGTTATGGTAGACAACCAACATAAAATTTAAAAAAATTACAAATTACAAATTGAACCGTTGTCTTCTGTAAAGAAAATGACCTGAACAAAGCCCCTTCATATGGATGCTTTCGCTCCAGACTAGCATGTTACCATGGTTACCACGTGGAGCTCGCCCCTCCGTTGATACATTGACCTAGCAATAAGGAAGGGGCAACACATGGCTGAAGGAGGCAGCATGTCTGTGCATCAGCACGACGGAACTAAAGAAGCCACAAAGACATAATGACCGGATCCTTGTCCCTGCGCACTCGTCCATCTGCAGGATCTCAGCGGGAGACGGAGGCCAGATGATTGGGATCGATCTGATGGGCTGTGTGGGTAGGCTCGCGGCTGGTGTAATGAGGAAAACACTTCCTGCCAGTTAGCAGATGGGATGGGGAAGTGTTGCGCAGCGAGCACGGGCAGGAGAAACGTGCCAAGAAGACAGCAACTCCGATCTTCGGTCCTTGAGGGCAGAGCGGTGTGCAGAGTGTGGTGGTGGTGGTGGGAGTGGTGCGGGGGAGAACAGAACACAAAGCCACGGAGCCACGTCTCCCGGGGCCTTCCGCTTTCAGATGTACAGAGAGCCGTCGGCGGGTCCCACGTAACCGACCCCGATCAGAAGAACGTCTATCAGAGTCCAAATGCCCAGGCCCCCGAAGCTGAACAGCTTTCCCAGCCCCTCTCTCCACTGGCCCAGGTAGAACCGGTCCGCCCCGAAGCCGCCAAGCGTGATGCTACGTGAAGACATGAGAGAAGACCAAGTCAAAAAGGTGCAGTTGGAGCTCACTCCGCGATCAACATTGGGGTTTGTTGAATGTTTCCAGCGTCTAAGCTGCTTTACCTGAGTGCTAAAGCCGTCGACCACTTGTATCCGCCAGTCCAGTTGCAAAATAAACGCTTCTGAAAACGTCTTTTTCCTGCAGAGGAAAAAAAAAACTTGTGTTCAAAACATTTTGCACACAAATGAAGAACACTGAAACATTAATGTAAAGTCAGAATACCTGTAGGAAACATTTCAAAATGCTTGTGGATTCCCAGACTGTGTGTTTGCGTACCAAGATCCATAATTACTCAACAGTGCTATTTTTAGATCATATTAATTATCACCTAACACACAGTCTAACCCTGCATAGGAAACTTAAAGGAACACTCGATGATTAACTCGTGGTATCTGGAATCCCTAAGGAATTCGTCTTTGAAAGCATTCTGGCTCGGACCAATTCATACTATTAGAGATTTTTATCGTCCGCGTTCAACGTGTAAGCATGCAAAAAAAAAAATGAAGATAACAACGTGAGTAACTGATATACAAATAAATAATTTAGGACCACCATAGTTGGCAAAGATAATACCCAATTAGAGTGAGAGGTGAACTGGCCGTTCTGCAGGTCTGGACTGGGTGAAAAAAGCTCTTCACTTTTCACATACCACAAATGCTTGACTGAGAGGTGAAGCAACCAAGCAGGAGTCATCTCACCTAAACAGTGCACGTGGTCCAACACGTCACAGGTGGCGTTGTAGCGCTTGCGTGGGCAGGACACGGTCATGCAGTTGGTGGAGTTGGAGCAGCGGTACTCGGACGGGTCCAGCTGCCAGCAGAACTGACAGAGGATGGGGAGAGAGAAGTTGGCCCGCTGCTGCCCCGACTCTCCCTTGAAATACAAAAGACACCATCGGGTGATCAGTACACATGTTACCAAATTTAATCACAAGAGCCGTTTCTCAGTCACAAATGATGTCTCCACACAACGACTATTTGTCATCAGTATGTTTGATTACATAGCTTTCAAACTTAGCAAAAAGTTAGTTCTTACTGAATAATGTTATTGCTACTTATAAATCATTAGTACTGTTTGTACAGAAATAGATCCTACAGACAGACAGAGAGAGCGAGAGAGACAGAGAGAGAGAGCAACAGCCCCACCCACAGTTCAGATGGTAATGTGCTTTTACTGCGAGGTTGTGGAAACAAACTGCAACACCATGTGGACTCGTTTGCAATTGTTGTCAATACACTGGACCCTTGTCGCTGCTTTTCAAAAACAAATTTAGCAAATGCGGTACCCATCTTCTACAACAATTTCCTGTTTTTTATCGAGGTCATATTAGTACAGACAGTTGAGGCAAGATTTTCCAAATTTTGTTTTTTCAGATAATTTTGTGCAAAATTTGTGCCTTATGTCATGTACCAAACTATTTATTTCACTTGTATACCCCTAATAGTGTTCAACACATCTCATACATATGGTGTAGGGATATTTTTAGAATTAATCCAGATTTTTATGTATTTTACCATTAAAAAAAAAAGACAAAAAAGAACACAAGAAGTCTAGTGGACTGGCGTAGTGACAGCCCATTTCTGGGTAATTACATGAGAGCTGAGCTACGAATGTTTCGACCAGCTACTCTGTCCAATTCTTGTCATATTTATGAGATTTGGTTTCAGCACAGTTGTCGGGTGTTTGGGTGTGGTGTTATATGGCAGGTAAATACACTTGTCCCTGGTTCTGCTGTTTAATTCAATGTGCAACATCTCTAGAATCTTTTGTCATTCGTTTATGGTTACATGCTGTTAACTCTGAGTATTCTTCAGAAGTGGTTGGAATTTTTCTCTGGAGCACTTATTCAAGGTTTCCGGTTAGGAGCACGACATTCTCGCACACAATAAACAAGTGACGCGTGCGAGGAGATTTCGCCACACACACAAACAACGTGTCTAGTGAGGTTGTTTTCACAGACCAACACAACAAGGGAGGACCCTATGGACATCAGCGTGATGCGTGAGAAACCGCGGTTGTGACCATATGGGTTGATCACAACATCCCCATTTCTCAAAGGGAGTTTTGTCAGCAGCATTTGGAAACTCTACGATCACAACTTGGTTTCTCGTGTCATGTGTCATTTCCCTTTTGTCACGCTTTGCTTTTCGCAGCGTGGATCTGGTACAAGATGAACCGCTACTCACTATGCAGTGAACTCCTTTTTTGGGTTTACAGGTGAAGGAGGCTGGTTTCCTGTAGGTGCAGTTGTGTTGGTAATTGCAGTTTATGCAATCAGCTGGCAGGCGACTGCATAAACCCCCACTGGGACACTTGGAAGCGTAGCTCTCTTCATCGCCGGGAGAAACTGAAAACATCAAGTTACAGACATTTTTTTCACATTAATAGCAAGAATAATCAACGTCATGTAACAAAGGCTCAAGTACATTTTGCATTTAGGTCTGGGCTCATGAATGGGTGTGCTATTGCACTTGTAAGTGCATCCTACTGAGCATTTTGCCAAGCTGAGAAAATATGGCTGCGGGGGATAAATGACCAACAAAAGAAAAAGAAAGCCAGCTAAGAGTCCTTGAACAGGGCCGCTCATCCCTGATTGCTCCATTAAGGCTGCTTTCTGGAGTGACGCAGAGTGCTTTTTCAGAACAGTTCATATGATCGGAAGGTGCCTTCAGATTTAACGACCTGCCGTTCGGACGATGGGGTCATGGCGATATTCAGAGAGGCAACGCTAAAACAACAGAGGGACATATGTATCCACCGTGCATGCTATATAACTTAAATAAAACGAGAACCCATTTTACAGTGACTGGTGCTCTGTCCGCTGGGTTTTTATTTCCTTTTCCAGGGCGCACCCCCGTTATAATGGTGGGGAAGCACAGGACTGGCAGCGGTCGGTTATCAAAACGACCCGCTTCAGGCTTTATGAGCAAATACAGAATCCCTTTGTCTTCATTTCTAAAGCCTCATTAAGACACACGTCAATTTATTTAAGATGCTGCGCTACTAAAACATTTACGGCAAACCCACCCATGAGTGAAGATACTCATTTACATTTGCATGAGGAAGAGGAGGAGGGTCCATGACGCTAAATAACCAACGGAGATCGCTTCTGCCGTTCTGAAAAAGGATCCTACCACCGACAACCGGAGGAACCGGCCACCAACCACCCAACCCGCCGTTCTGAAAAAGGATCCTGCCACCGACCGCTTTTCGCACTCGCCGCTACTTTGCTTTCTGGCCAGTCAGAATGTTCTTAATCTGTAGAAAAGCTATTCTCTCTTCTAAAACTAGACAACATCAGGGGAATATTCCCTGATTTTAAGGTAAGAAATGTTCTCCCTGTTTGAATGTTCAGCATTCTAGAGGTGATATAATTCTGATTTATTCATCTTGTGGGAAATAGTCAATGGATCCAATTCTTCAAATCATTTAAAATAATCAAATTTGTAAGACATCAACATGTTATCGATCACGGCCTTGGGTCACTTCTCTAGGTCGGGCTGTATTTCTTGTTAGACAGTAATCAACATTAACCATACTGACTGACTTGTTTACCTGAGGCTGCAGCGGGGACCACCGGGCTGGAGATCACAGGTCCCTGCTGGGGGTCTCTGGAGTAAGCAGGCTCCTGGCCAACGTGAGGAGAGCTCAGGTAGCCTGATGGGCGACAAGACAGGGAAGAAGATACGAGCTCAACTTCTTCATCTGGCATAACATGGTTATGAAACATAGTGTGACCATGTACAATTACCTTCATATTGTGCCGATTACGGAAATATTAAGTGAACATCGTTTACGTTTGCTGCTTTGGCGTGTTACGAGTCGGACACCCTAAGGGCGAGTGCTTAATATATTGATTAAAAGGCTATTAAATGTGTCAGTAATCAAAATACAGTTAGACCGTATAAACTAAGCTAGCTAAGGTTCCTGCTTTACAATATGCCGTTAACGGGGATTTAAACACTCACAGCACTTGGAAATTAGCAGGGGCAGAAAACGGTTGAGTCTCCTTAATTCTACATTAAATTATATATAATTAACTTCGGGGTCAGTGCTATTAGACAAACAAATGTTCATCTGACGCTACTCATGTGCTAGCTCACTGGCTAACGTCAATCAGTGGACGTTGATGCTAACTCTGTGGGAGGAAGCTAACGTTGGGAGGAAGCTAACGTTGGTGCTGTAACGACAAATGTAAGAGCCGCGCACGCGAGCCAAGCAGTTTGAAACCAGTTATCCCGGTAAACTTACCGTTAACACATTGAAAGACCAGGTCCATAAACAAAACCAAAATAAGACCGTAGTTTTTGAAACAGCGACCTCGGTCGGGTCTCCACTTCTGACAGATGGTGGCCATTGTTGCAGCAGAGCTAACCAATGCTACATTCAGGGCACATGGGAATTACGAACGTCAGCGAGGCAAGAGGAGGCACGTGGAAAGTGCTCGCGATTACAGTAGTTATTACAGATTACAGTAGTAGTAAAAAACTGTTATTGATTCGTGATCGTTTGGCTAAACCCGTAGTCTTTTCATTGTCTTTGAATAGGGACCTTACATAAAATATAAATCAATTTATAGTAATCTTGAGAATAACTGCATTGATGTGACTAAACGTCTTTAAGGTCTTCCTTAAAGACGATGCGTTGGATACAAGGTCTTTCCTTGTATCCAACGCATGATGGCATTAAAATGTATGTTACAAAATATGTTAACATAGTAAGTCAACAAAACCATGCTTTTAGAATGTAATGACTGACAGAAAAAAATAAGTGGGAAAGTTGGACGCCATATTTCCTATGACTGCGAACGCAGCATTACGAGCAGAATTTCCCATCTATCCACAAAAAAACTGTGATCCATTCATTATATACTGCAAACTTTTTATTAAAGCTGTTCCTGCAGTGAGGTCAGTAATTTGGTGTTTGGAAGGTATGGTTTGTGGAGACACTAATTCCGGTTCTCTCCCGACACGCCAGAGCACTAATGTGCGAACAAATGCTCCGGATTTGATCTCGTTAGTATGGAACACATATTTTGGCCACCATCAACAACATTTCCATTGTTGACAACTATGAAATATATCTTTAAAATAAGTAAACCCATCAAGCCGCTTTGCTTGTTTCAATTCATTTTATTTTCTTCCATTGTGAAAAATCAAAGCCAAATTCACTGTACCTTTATTTTAAGCACTTTATTTATAAGGAAACAAAGTTCCCGTCAATTAAACTTACCCATCAGACATGAACATTTCAATTTCATTTTCGAAGCTCCACTCATCACATTCAGCTCTTCCGTTTCTCTTCCTAGGATTTCTTCGCCACTCTTTCCCTGTACTCGACTCTACACGTGCAGATCACTTGTCCCTCGACTGCTCATCCGACTGCAGCCGAGGCATTCTGACGCCGGAGGACCGGACCCTCCTTTTCCGTCTCCATCAGAACTCCTCCTCCGCATTTGGACATCGGCTTCGTTTGAGCAGGCTCAGGCGAGCCAGCACCTCGGACACGGACAGCTCGCCGTGGACTTTGTTGTCTCGCGTGCGCACATTGACGCCGTCAGTCATCTTCTCCTTCTCCCCGACCACTGCCAAGACACGAGAAGACACAACAGCTCGTCATGGGCCAAGTCACACCACGCAGACACAGCTACCCTCACGCCTTCCCCACATTGTGCCGCTGAAGTCAACAACTGTGGCTGGTCGGCCAGCACGGACGTCCATTTGCTTTATCAGGAAACATTTATTACCAAAATATGTCAGACATACAAGGGATTTGACTTGGCGTTTGGTGCGTAACAGCAGACAGACTATAGACAACAAGACCGTGCAAGAGGAATAAAATCAAATGTGGTCCACAGGATTTTAATAATTTCCCGTTGTTAGCACAGAATTTAAAAGTTGGCAGAGCTTCAGATTTTTTTTTTGAAATTATGCACTCTCAAATTTTCTTCTATAGTGTTCACTTTGTTAGGTCTCAGGACAGGCAACCATGTAAAAATGATCCAATTGGCATAACAGGGGAAAAGATTAAAACAACAAATATATATATATATATATATATATGCTGTTAAAAACAGACTAAATCCGTAGATTAGGCCCGTCAACGACGTACTCACCTAGAATGAAGTTGTATTGGGCCAACTGAGCATTACGGATTTTCTTGTTGAGCAGACAGCTGGAGTCCAGGTCAGCGTCTGCCATGAAACCAGCTTCAGTAAACTGCTTACACACCTGAAACATGGGCAAAAAAAACCCAAAACATATTACTCCGTATAACCGTGGTGTACCTTCCCTTGAATGTGGTGGCGGTGGACGTACCTTCTTGGCGTAATCCTCACAGGACGGGTTGACGGGGACCAACATCACCTGGCGGGGCGAGAGCCAGAGAGGCCTGTGGGAGGACGGACAGACCTTAATGGAACCATCGTAAGACCGCCTACATTTCACCTTTAACCACATTAATAAAACTGTAAAAATCTCTACCAATGAAACACCACTGACGCCATTGAAAGCACTGGGACATTTCTTTGTATCCAAGATAAATAAAGAGCCACCAGAGAGCACTTTACCATTTGCCTGCGTAGTTCTCTGTGAGAATGGCGATCATCCTCTCCACAGAGCCCAGGATGGCGCGATGGATGATGACGGGTCGTGCTTTGTCATCCCCATCCTTCCTGCAAGTCAGAGGGAGAGTATCGCCAGAGAGTCAATGGCAGCAGTATGGATGCAAACCAAACGCATTCTTCCAACTCAGCAGGGGATTAACGTGTAAACCCTTCGGTGCGGCCGTGAGTCAATGTTTTCATCGTTAGCCGACTCACCCCACAAAGGTCAGGTCGAAGCGGACGGGAAGCTGGAAGTCCAGCTGAACGGTCGCGCACTGGTGGTAACGTCCGATTGCATCTTTGATCTTGATGTCGATCTGTGAGAGGCGCGGAAAGTAACGCGGCACTTCAGAAACACCTCGGAGGCCTTCTAAAAAAGATTTGATGTGAGAAACCTCGAAAGGCTCTGACCTTGGGTCCGTAGAAAGCGCCGTCTCCAGGGTTGAGTTTCCACGGCTCCCCGAACTCGTTCAGGCTGTTCTCCAATTGCTGCCAAACACAATGCGCGGTTAACGCGTCGGCAAGGTCGGTCTGCTGAATGTAGCTCCATACTTAATGACAACACACCGCCCAGAGAGATGAGAGGCTCTTCCCTGTGACTCACAGATGTGACTACTACTACTTCAGGAGCCCACTCAGGCACGCAGCAGCTTGGTTGGCAAAAGCAAAAATTATCTAACAGTATCTGCCCTTTATACAACTCCAAGTTCAGGGCTGATTGACGGGGAGGAATATACCTACAGCGAACACAGTTTTCCTAACAAGTGGGCACGGTTTTAAAATGTTGCATTTTTGTCCAATCGAAGAAAAAAAGTTCCTTTGTCCTCGATCGGCGGTCAATAATAGAACAATGCGGTGGTTGTTGGGAGCATCTGCATAGTCAAACAGCAGTGAACCGACGCTTTCACTGGGCCAAGTAAGTTTACCCGAGCAGCGTCTCGTACCCGAAAGACGAAGGCGCATCTTCCGTCGAGAAGTTCCCAGAATTCATCTTGGCACCTCAAGCGCTGTACTATCGTCCACCACTGAGACCTGCGGTTCGGTTCTTACCTTCTCGGCGCGGTTCCACACGGCGATGTCGCCCAGGTACTTCTCGGGACGAGTGGAGAGGTGAAGCTGGAAGGAGAAGCCGAACACGTGGTAGATGCAGCGGAGGAAGTCCAGGCAGCCCTTCATCTCGGACTCAATCTGCAGAAGGGAAAATACTGAATTAGGGAAAGGACTCAGAATGTCGTTTTGCTACGCGGTTTTTAAATGTTTTCGACTACTGATGTGGTCACCTGGTCCATGGTGCAGAAAATGTGAGCGTCATCCTGCTGGAAGCGGCGCACTCTGGTCAGCCCGGTCAGCGTTCCCGACAGCTCGTTTCTGTGGAGGACCCCGAAATCCGCCAGCCTCAGGGGGAGCTCCCTCCACGAGCGCGGCCTGTGACTGAACATCAGACTGCGGGACGACATGGAGCGACAAGAGACGCATTGAAAACATTTCCGGGGGGGGGTGGACACTTCGAAGTGCGCGATCTAAACCCACCAGTGGCCGGGGCAGTTCATGGGCTTCAGCGCGAAGACGTCGCCCTCCACGGGGAAGGAGAACATGTTCTCGCTGTAGTGTTGCCAGTGGCCGGATGTCTCCCACAGCTTGCTGTTGAAGATGTTGGGGGAGGCTACTTCCTGAAAGCCTCTCCTCCAGTACTCCTCCTGGAAAAACAGAAACGCAGAAGAGTTGTTTACACGTTTGTTTTCATAAAACCGTTTAGTGTCCAGCTGAGCTGCAAAGATGTGCAACTTGCAATTAAACAGGGAGGAGGTTAAAACTGCCTCGCCTGCAAGTACAATTCAGCATAAGAGATAGGAGAGCTGATCATGTGATGAGTGAGGACTGCCTGCATCTGTTCCGCGGCACTCATTAGAAGAGACCCCAAGTATTTCAAAATGTTACTTTTAACACGTTAACAGCCGACTGAAGTGACGCGATAATGATCTTGCAGCACTTCTGTGCAACGTTATGCGAGGTCTCCTTGGCTCGATGCGCTGTGTTAGTGTGAGAAAAGTCTTCCAAGATGTCAACACTTCTCCGCTGCGACGTCATGGAGACCAGATCCTGTGCGGTCACGCTAAAACTGCAGACAAGTCTGCCCTTAACGAGGAAAACTTCCGCCCACTGCACTCGGTTAACAAATAAAAAATGAATTTCCCTTCCCATGAGGCCCATCAGACAAACGAGACCATACCCTTTTTGGGGGAATGATCACGCCTCTGAGAGCCCTTCACTCCTGGCGCTCTGAGTTTGGAGCAACTGAGCTGAACCGAAATATTCCGGTCACTGTGACACGCCGCCGTTTGTGGTCGAGCTGCTCTCTGATCACTTGGTCGTGGTGTGCACGTCAATGAGCCGACTCACTGCAAGGACACAGGACATGTAGAGCGCAGCCAGACTCTTGAGAGTAGTTTCAAGGGGCTTTGTGTTACAGCATCTCCGAAATACTTAATTATGAACCATTTAAATGCTTATAAAATCTGTGTCTCTTGAGCTAAACCAAAAGAGATAATACATGCATATTAATATTGATATAGCAATTGTAGGTTACAGTTTTAAAAACAGACTTTTGATTAAGAGCGAGCCGTCAGTAAGAGAAGAAGCCCTCGTACCCTGATGAACTCGGTGAGGGTGTTGTAGATGTGGGCTCCGCGTGGCATAAAGAAACAGCTCCCAGGGCTCAGGTCATGGAAGAAGAACAGCTCCTGATCCTGCAAAGCAGACAAAGAAATGCAGCTTTATATCACCTGTTGTCTTGCAGAGAGAACCAGCAAGAAGCACAAATAGGGAATTCACCAATCCTCACACGGTAGATTAGATGGGTTGCTTCCTGGTAGTGGAGTCTTCTTCATTACTCCCTTTAAAAATAAGGTCCTGTGATTTATCTTATAATAGCAAACTGTATAGACACACGTGGTCTCCTCAATACAAGCTTTCTAACGCCGGCCCTCGTCTTTCTGTTTGAGCTTCAGCAGAACATCAATCTGCTGTTTGCAGCACAACACCAGCAGAGTAATTACTATAAATATAATGACTATAATTACCATCCAGCTATGTGAAATTCACTTTGAGTTGGGAGAAAAACTAAAATGAGGCAGTTACAACTGAAATATCCCACTTAAAAAGAAAGACCATTTGAAAATCTCAGAAACGTGTCGACCTGCCTTGATGTTCCAACTGATTTCCATGGTAACGCAGGTCTGACTTACCGCAAACTGTTTTTATAGCAATTTAATATCAATGTGACACAGGATTTTCCCCCGTATAAGTATAACTTGCTAATTCAATCATACAATGACGATTTTACATAAATGCTATTGTGTATTACAACAGAACGCTCAGGACGCACTGCCTGCATGATGCACTATTCAAATGACGAGTGGCCTTGGGATCATGCCACAGAGCGCCAGCTTTTAGACAACATGTCACTTTCGTCACCTCCCGTTCGACCGGCTTCCACAGAAATATCTTGACTGTGTGCGTGGAGGTGGGGCGGGGGGGGTGAGACCGTCTGCGCGTCCCATGCTGGGGAAGCAGCTGGGCGCTCTGATGACTCACAGCGGGCTGAAGCGCGGCGATGCGAAGGCGCAGAGTGCCCTCGCCTGGTACGACGCGGCAACAGACAACTTCATGAAAAACAACATGGGTTTTCATGTGCAAATCTTAAAAAAACCACCACAAATAAGATGAAGAAAGTTAGCTAGCGCTCTGCGTGAGGAAGGCTTTTGTTTGTATATATTGTCGGCCCCGAAACGGGGATCCTGGGGCTTTTCCCCCCACATCCAATCGAAACCACAAAACAGACTGTGGAGGAAACGCTGAGTCAGCCAACATATTATACAATTACAAATCCTGATTATCTTTGTTCTGAGTTTCAGTGTCTGGATTTAGGGCCCCAGTGCCTGTACGGACTCACTTTGCCAATCTTGCGATGGTCTCTGTTCTTGGCCTCCTCTTGAAATCGCTCCCACTCCTTCAGCATCTTTGAGTCGGGGAAGGAAATCCCGTAGATCCTCTGCAGGGTCTCCATGTCGGAGCGGCCCTCCCAGTAGGTGGAGGAGTTCTGTTGGCAGAGAGGAGAAATATTACCATGACTATAGAGGGAAATCTACCCTGGGTAAAAACGACTTGATAAATAGTTATAAGAATGGCGACAAGAGACGAATTGTTCCCCGAGAACGGGACGTCCCACGCACCTTGTAGATCTTCATGGCTTTGATCTTGCCGGTGTGCCTGACATGGGGACCTCTGCACAAGTCGATCAAGGGCCCACATCTAACCAGGATTGGAGAGGACACAGCTCTTCATTTCAGAGGACCCCAATAAAGCTTGAGCCTTCTTTAAATCCAAAAGGAAGATCGAATGAAGGTCTTTTAAGCGGCGTACCTGTAGACTGTAGTGGTCGGGGTGCTGACTTTCTCATTCAGGATGCGGCACTTGAACTTGTTGTACTGAAAGAAGCAAACGTTTCGAGTTAGTTCAAAGACATTTTTTTGCCAACTTCCATCCATGCAAATACCAATTACAGGACTTTAACTTTTTATTTCTTTATTAGCGAAAACGCCTCGGCCACCTTGAACATCTTCAACAGGGTCTGCTTGCTGATTTCCAGCCTCTCAAAGGGCTGTTTTTCCTTCACAACGGCCTTGCACAGAGTCTCCAGGTCCCCGAACTCGGCGCTGGACACCCCCCTGGAAGCAGCACACGGGTCGATTTAACACAAGCGCTGGCGGTCGGAGTGGCTCCGATGTGTCTGTGACTACCCAACGCGGTTTGAAATCCCGTGTTTCCGCTTATTGCGTTTTTCAGGGGAAAACTTTTGGACTCAACGGAGCAAAGTATCCGAAAATTGGTTTGAAAAGCGGGGAAATCTGAGATTAATATTGGATGTATTAAAAACGTATGAAGCGTTTTCAGACTAGAATACTCGCTCACTTCTGCCCATCCAGGAACATGTCGTAGTAGAAGCCATTCTCAATCGGGGGTCCGTAACACAAACAGCCGCCATAGAAGTTCTCCATTGCCTCCCCCAGGATGTGAGCGCTGGAGTGCCAATACACCTAGAACACAAGAGCAACGAGTGAAATCAATCTCAGAGGTTCCCCTCCGTAGCCTCGAGCAGCGTGTTGATTTTAAACGCTCAAACGGACTCACGGCCTGAGCGTCCTCATCGTCGAAGCGCAAGATCTCCAGAGAGCAGTCCTGCTCGAGGGGCCTGTCCAGGTCCCAGAGCTGCCCGTTAACCCGGGAAATCACCGCGTTGTCGGCCAGGCCCTGGCTGAGAGATCGACAGAAACGCTCAATGCGGCGATTCCTCTCAATGGAGAGTTTGAAGACAACATTGCTGATTACAGTCACACTCTCGTGTGCCCCGAGGTGTGTGGCTCGCATCGGGCAGGTTAGCCATCGGGCCCCGGATCTGTTTTTTTGGTGCCGCCGCTGCCTACCTGACGCCACAGGCCAACTGGTACGGTGTGGTGACCCACGCTTTTCCCGCCACCGTGCGCCCGTCCGGCAGCACCACGGCGACGGGCCCGCCGGCGGCGGCTCTCTCCGCCAGCAGGGCGTCGCTCTCCCTCTTCAGCTCCTCGTAGAGGCGGAGGCGCTGCGCGACGTAGTCAGGCAACGGCTTCTGCTGCAGGCGGGGAAACGACATACTATATATCATACAAGTCCAGACGCTGGTTTGCTCAGGACACATTAAAAGCATGATTTGTTTTGTCACAAGCCACATCGTGTTTCACGATTCATGTTTTGTGAGAGTTGAAGTCGACGCACTGTGCTTTTCTGCATGTTGCACAGGATGGAAGAGGAGATCAGCCATAATATAAAGGAATTATTTCTGCTGCTGTCCACATTCCTCATGACGCCACTTCACGGTTTCTGATTTGCTCATCATGCATTTATTGCGTTACAATTTTCCTTGGGGTCAATCGTCGTCTGTGCATCCCTGTGTTGCACAACAATATCTGACCCCTCGATGAGATCTTTGTTTTGGGGCGATGCGCTGAAATAGTACAGGGTGTGAGCCTGTTGGGGGAACCTGCTTCACCTCGTTCACGGCTGCGGTTCCTCGGCCCTTGTCCTGCTTTTTGTCCTTCTTGTTGTCGCCTGGTTTGGTTTCCGGTTTGCCCCCCTGTCAACAAACACGGTCGCATTGGGTGGTGCAGCTATTTCTGGAAATGGGGTGCGGTTTGCCATCGGGCCCAGAAAGCGCATCATATTACACATTTTAAACTTGCACACTATGGGCCGTCACAATCATTACCCTTTTCTCAGCAGGTTTGTTTGTCCGCTGCTCGCCGCTGCTGGTTTTCTCCGCGGCTTTGCCACACTTCACGTGTCGCTGGTTGCCCTGCGCCTCCTCCACCTCCTCCGCCTCCGCCCGCAGACCCCTGCGGAGGTGCAGCAGCCGGTAGCGGAGCTTCTCGTTCTCGGTCCGCAGGCTCTCCAGCTCCGGGGAAACCCCCGAGGCGAGAGCGGCGGCATCCACGCCGGTGCTCAGTCCGTCACGGAGGACGGAGATTTCCCTGGAAAGGAGCCGAATTTGCTCCTCCTGAGCGGAGAAGCGTGCGGCCAAGGACTCCGCCATCTTTAAATGACCAGCGACACAATGACAGTTCACTTCCGGTGAGGTCAATAAAACCGCGTCGCTTGTGCATTTTAATTTAAAAATAACACTTAACCAAACGACAAATAACATGTAGGTGCACACCGGGGGAATATAACGCTATCTATCTATGTATCTACTATCACTGCCTGACAAAAACAAACATTTAATGAAAGTTAGGAATTATTACAACATTCTTATATTTAATGTAGTTTCTTTGTTCTGCTTTTGGCGGCTCTTGGTTATGTTTGGATTCGTCGTGCTGTGTAGTGGTGGATATTTCGCAGTAACGCGTTGCCGCCGCTAGGAGGCAGCAAAGGATTTATTTTCATTTGAATCTCATCTCACAGCTGCAGTTCACGCATGTAAACACTCACTTTCTGTTCTGCTGGTGTGGGTCTGTTAGCCTACAGGTACGTGTCAGCTATTTGCGTTCATGTTTTAAAAACCTGCTTCGCTTTTACTTATGGCTTGAGGTGTACTACCACCGTGCAGCGGTTCTTTAACATTAGCTCGTTGCTAACCGTCAACGAGCCAGAACAGAGAATGCTAACTAGCTCAAACTTAGCTAACGTTAGCTCTCAAATGGGTATTCACCAAATGCAGTGCAGTAACCCGGATCTTTACAGTGTTCTCAGCCACAAGCAAGGCTGAAGCACGCCGGGACACGGGGGAGGACATGTAACCGCCCGGGCTGAGATTCGGCGTGTATTCGGCACCAGTGGGGCAACAGTAACCAGCAGACCAGTTCTGTGAACTTTGAACTTTGTCATCAGAAAAAAATGGTGCCCCTTAATTAACGTTATATTGTAAAACATAAAAGCCCAACGTCGGTGTTATACCTGTGAATGATTAACAAACAAAAGATTCACTTATAAAACTGTTTTGAGTCTGAATGGTGTGAGATAAACCTCCAGGTCCATGTCCTTACGCATCCCTCCCATGTCCCTGCAGGTCAAACGTTACGTAACTATTCTGCAGCTGACCTTGACCCCTGACCTCCCCATGGAAAGTTAAAGACCCAGCCATTCCGTTTGTGTAAATAGCATATTGACCCTGAATACCAGCCCAGACCGATTGGAGAATTGAATGCCGCTGTGGTCAGCATGGCCTCCAGCTTCGCTCCTCCAAAACTGTCCGACTTCATCCTCACGGAGCGGCTGGGCAGCGGGACCTACGCCACAGTCTACAAAGCCTACAGGAAGGTCAGTCAGGGGGAAAGTATTTGCCCGCTTCCTGGTTTCTTATTTGTTTGCGTATTTTCATCATCAAACTATATTTTATGTTGGACAAAGTAAATGCAAAATACACTTTTTAAGTGATGATTTCAAAATTATGTTCAATGTCTGACAATCAGATTGTGACCTCACTTGGGTTCTGCAGCAGGACAATTATCCGAAGACCCCCAGCAGGTCCCCCTCTGAATGGCTCAGAAGAAGCTAGCTAGCTTCTGCACAGCGATGTGAAAGACTCATGGCCGGTTATCAAAAAGGCCTGATTGCAGTTGTTGCCACTGAGCCAACCAGTTATTAGGGTTAGGGGGCAATTACTTCTTCACACGTGGCCATGCTGGTTTGGATAGATTTCCTCCCTTAATACATTGTAAAACTGCACATTCTATTTACTCTCGTTACCTTTGTCTAATGTAAATATGTGTTAGATCTGAAACATCTAAGTGTGACCAATGTGGTCTGCAAAAAAATGAGTAACCAAGAAGAGGCTTTTAATTAATTTCTTCACTTCTTTTAAAGCATCACTACGTTGACCTGATAGAAGAGGTTTGGTGTGAATAGCATATTGAATTGCTCACTATGACGTCGCAGGGGGACAGTCGGGAGGTGGTGGCGGTGAAGGTGGTCGGGAAGAAGACTCTCAACAGGGCGTCTACAGAAAACCTGCTCACGGAGATTGAAATCCTCAAGACGATGCGCCACCCTCACATAGTCCAGCTGAAGGACTTTCAGGTCAGCTCATTTGTGTCTTTTTAGGTGCGTTTCATCTTGTAAAAGGGATTTTTTTTTAAAGTCCTTTCAGAGCAAATAAAACCTGTCCCTGCATATTTATAGAAGATCAATGCAAACTTGTTGATTTAGGAGGGCCGTGACATCCCTCCCAGTAGAGTTGGTTTCAAATTTCCTGTCCAAAATGTATGCGTGTTTTCTTTCATCAGTGGGATGCCGAGAATATTTATCTGATCATGGAGTGGTGCTCTGGTGGAGATCTTTCCTGCTTCATACGCAGCCGCAGGATTTTGCCTGAGAGGGTGGCCCGGCGCTTCCTGCAACAGATAGGTGAGTCTTACTTTTTTTTTTTTTTACATCACCACATAAGCCTTGTTCCCATGTCTTTGCTTACTAGTTATTATGTTGAGTATATATGTGTATTCGTGTGTGTTTGTCTCTGCACAACCAGCCTGCGCCCTCCAGTTCCTTCATGAGCGAAACATCTCCCACCTGGACTTGAAACCTCAGAACATTCTGCTCAGCGGCTCCGTCCTGAAACTAGCAGGTGATCCCGCGTCTCATCGAGCGAACACATTGATTTGCGGTTAAGTGCGGGCTCACACCCACCGATGCCCCTCACATTGGTTCCCAGATTTCGGTTTTGCCCAGTACATGTCACCATGGGATGAGCAGAGTGTCCTGAGAGGGTCCCCTCTTTACATGGCCCCTGAGATGGTGTGCCGGCGGCAGTACGACTCCAGGGTGGACCTCTGGTCAGTCGGGGTCATTCTCTATGGTGAGTACTTCATGGTCATGAAATGCCGCATGCAGCAGAATGTGCTGTGAACGTCTTGTGCTGCGTAGCGAGATGCCCCAATAATTTTTTAACACCCCATTTTTTTAGAAGGCGTTCTGAGGTCAATCAGTTGAAAAGCCCAGTAGGCTTGAAAGAGTTAAGTCGCAAACAAAATGGTCCATTAATCATAAAACGGCAGCCTGTTTTACCTCCCTGTGTTCCTGTGGTGCAGTAATAGCACATGTAGTGTAATAGCACACTAGAGACCTTTGTCATGTGCCTGACACGCAGGAGTTTGTTATACAATCGATTTAAAGATTACACTTTTAAAGCGCGTCCATGTCAGGCCCTAAAATTCATATAATTATTATGTTACTATGTTTCATTTATTAGTTTGTTATCATAATGATTTGTTTTATTGGTTCATCCATTGTACGGTTTTATTAGGGTTTACATTTTACCCTAATCTAAATTTGTTGTGCCTCACTTTAGAGCTTTCGGTTTTTAATGCCTTGGTCCTGGCACTTTTTTAACTGTTTTTAAAATAGCTGTATCTTCAAAAGTGGGTGTAATGGTTTCCAGGTTTTCCTTTGGGAATAATCTTCTCAACCATGCTTGTGTTCATGTAGAGGCACTGTTTGGGCGAGCACCTTTCGCATCAAGGTCGTACGCTGAATTGGAGGAGAAGATCCGGAGTAACCAACCTGTCGAGGTATAAGACTCTGAGGCTCGAGTTAGTTAGTTACTTGATGTCTGAGACAGTAAGCAATCCTTTTTAAACAAGGATCCAAAAGCCATTTGACCGTTTATTGAGTGAGGCGAATGGATGAATCCATGATTTGTTTCTCTCCTGTACAATAAAAAGTAAATTGTTATATCACCGCTCAACAAAAATGTAGCAAATGTCTTCAGCTGATCCTATTTGTAGAGAACATGAGTAATGGTGAACAAATATACAGCCTTTCTCCTCTAAAGTTAAACAGTTTGCCTCCACAGTGACGGACAGCTTCTGATGGTGAAGGGCTTTCAGGACACTTGAATTCTAGTGTCACACTTTGAGCTAAAGGGAGGGAATTAGCACACGGCCCATTAGCAGGGGATTCACAAGTGGCGACACGAGACTATAAAAGGTCTTTGGCAGTGATCTCCCCTCCCTCCCTGCCCTTGGGATTGTCCTGTGGATCATGGCGTGCAGCGTAATAAGGTCATGTCTTCTGCCTCAGCTCCCTCCAGGGGTCGGGGTATCCAAGGACTGCAGAGACCTTCTGCTGCGGCTGCTGGAGAGGAACCCAGATGCCCGGATCACCTTCGCCGAGTTCTTCGGCCACCCTTTCGTGGACATGGAGCACATGCCGAGCGCCGATAGCCTGGTGAAAGCGGTGAGAGAGTGAAAGCGCGTTTCCTCACGTCACCCTGCATGCGTTCACGAGCGATAGCAAGTTTTCTGTTTTTGCCTCTGCTGACGTTAGCCTGTTGTCTTCCTCTTTCTGTTTCTTCTTCAGAAAGAGCTGGTGACGCAGGCCGTTCAGAAGGACCAAGAGGGGGAGTGGGCCGCCGCACTTTCCTTTTACTGCAGCGCCCTGGAGCACTTTGTCCCCTCCATCCACTGTAAGCACAGCAACCGCTACACTGTTGATCCGCCGTGACAAACTGTTATCGCATAATGGGCGAAATGTAGAAAACAAACCACTCTTTCCCCATCCCCTCTCTCCAACCACACACAGATGAGATGGACCAACAACGTAAAGCCGCCCTCAGGCAGAAGGTAGGCCTGCATTCCCATTTGGATTAGGCTGTATTTTCAATTTGCCCTTTTGTTTTTGTCTTTCTCCCCCACACTCAGGGTGGGCTTTCATATGGAATGAATTGTCTCCTTTGAATACCGTACGGTGTGGCTGGGGAGCATATGGCGAGGGGTGGGGGTACGTGATTAAGTTGTGAGAGGACTTCCCGCAGGTCCGCCAGTATGTGTCCAGAGCCGAGGAGCTGAAGGCCCTGGTGGCCTCGGACAACAGGCTGAGCTTTGAGGAGGCGCGCACCGCCAGGGACGTCCTCCGAGGTAAAGAGCCCGTCTCAGTGCCTGTAGGAGAGGACACCCTGAGCAACGCAATAGTCCGTACACCTTCAATTTGTGGTATTTGATACAAAGCAGTTTAACGCAATTTACTAAAAGACGTTTGCCCCAAAATCGTATTCTAAAATCTTAAATAAATCAATACAACTCAAGTATCTCAAGTGCACAAAGCAGGAGCCTGAGCGTTCTGCAGAGGCATGCGGATTACAAAGTGTGGCTTTTTCTAGCAGCACAGTTCGATGTACAGTTGGACTCAAAGTAATATTTCCTGTTTTTCTCTCCACTTCAGAAATGTCTCGAGACCAACCTCGGCTACTGGCTGCTCTGGAGGTGGCCTCCGCTGCCATTGCTAAGGTTAGAAAAAGGGGGGGGGGGGGGCACTGCTATAGAGACTCACACAAAGGCAGGGTGAAGCAGAAGTAATACAACAGAAGAAGAATGAAAAACACCAGGGTCTAAACCAATTCCCTCTCTGAGATCGCTTTCCATATCTGCAATGAACCAAAAACATCTATTTGTTTATCTGAACACTGATGACGATCTCATTGTGCGGCGCTGGCAGACGGAAGTAGTGGAACCACAGCGAGTGCATCGCCTCATCTTGGATGTTCTTTTACAGGAGGAGAGCGGAGGAGATGATCTCGAGGCCCTGGACGTGTACCAACAGTGTTTAGGAGAACTGCTGTTGGCGCTAGCAGGTACACAAACCGCTTTTCTCTCCAAAACAAGATGGTTTTAGGCAATTATTGTACAACAGAGACAGTCCACCGGAGCCACGGTTTAAGTCCTCAGACCTTAGGCGGCCATCTGTGTTGCACACGTTTGTTATTATAGAAGCGGATTTGATAGCGCATGAGGGGAATTAGTTTAGTATTTAGCTCCAGTATTTAGAATTTAGTGTGCAGCCAGAAAATTAGACAAGTCAAGATATGTCTGAACAGAGAAAAGGACAGCGGCTGTAAAAGAGAGACGATTAGAACTCGGGGAGAGAGTGTAAAGCTTCTTAATTGGAAACAGAGCGCGCTTAGCAGCCTGGAATATAATACGACTCAAGGAAAAAAAGAGATGGAAATAAACTTTGACGTGATTTATAAAGCATAAAAGACAAACTGAAAGGAGAGAGACGGGGGAGACTTAATCTGCGACAGACAGAGGCTCCAGAGGAGAGCCTCTCTGTGGCCTGGCCTCCATTAGGATCGCGCTCGGGAGCTCATCTGGAAGATGGGCCTAATGGGAGAGGTGGGATAGAGGGATCCAGATGTGGCTTTGAGCCGAAATGAGACGCGGTGCCAGCACCCCGTGTGTGGTACGAGAGCCGGGCCATCTGCTTCCCATTCAGCGCAGACATCACATTTCATTTCTTTGTCTTTATCACACGCTGGAAACAAATACAGACGACCGCCTCGCCGGGGAGGGAAAACTGTAGACGGGTGTCAGGTTCCCAAAGGAACTTTATGACTTGAGGTGAGCGACGCTGCAACCTCGTCTTGTCAGCGGATTGGCAGTATACCGAACTAATCCCCTGCCACCCCGAGCAGCCCCCCACCGCCCGGGAGCCTCGTTGTGTGGCACACCAGATCGAGAGGGGGAAAAAAAACATTGGCTTTTTGTTTTTATAAGAGCTCTTTGTCGCACAGCCTTCAAACATGCCTCGCCACCAGAGAGTTCTCCTCCCCTCTCTCTTACCCCCCCCCACCGTCCTCCCCCCCTTACCACAGGGAGCGACTGTGAAAACACAGGGGGCTACATTAGAATGCACCCCCGAGTCCCCCGTCTCTACGCCAGCGAAATCCAATCTAGCAGATGACCTCTACGTGAACAAACGAGGTGATTAGTTCGCCTCCCTTCCTCTCCTCCCTTCCTCTCCTCATCCATCCCTGTTTGTTCTTCTCCAGCCGAGCCCCAGGGCCGCAGGAGGGAGCTGCTCCACAGCGAGGTGAGTGTGGCCCCAGTCACATGTGCATATTCTTTTGTGGTAACGGCCAAATCTGTCATCTATATTACACACACACACACAAACGCACACCACTTTCCCCTTTATGATTGGACACGGATGATGAATTAGGTCTATATTCCCGATGGATGGCATGGCCACACATGTGAGAAGGGTCGTACGTGGCTTAAGCTCATTGGTTTGTTTTTTTTACGGCCCATAACTTTTGTGTTCTGGTTGCAACTCTCATTATCGATGTTTTTGGCCCCAGCTGGCAGCTGCTTTTTTTCATTTCTCATTTTTTATACGACTCCTCAAGCAATGGAGCTGATGTTAGCGAGTCACCGGTGAACACAGTGCAGCACGCGTGCAGCTGAGCGGTCCATACTTACCACGATGGTCAGTGGAAGAGTGAGTGCCTGCGTGTGTCGTTCAGCAGATGAATGAGTGCCTGGTGTGTAAATAAGCTACTCACCGTTTGCCATACTGACCTTAAAGGTGACGGTGTGTCGGTGTTGTCTGCTGCCCTAAAGCGGCCTGAAAAACTATTCAGTGAATGCAGGTTTGCACTAAAGATTTAACTTTTCATTGTCATAGTTTAAATTTAAAGTGTAACAGACGTAGTTAACTTGAAAGAAAAAAAAATACATGTGTGGATCCAATAAGCGTTTATAGAATACAATATTTTCGGGCCTAAAAGCCTCTTTTGTATTCCAATGTGAATTAACACGAGTAACTGGAAAGAACTATAATACTTTAAAAAAAAAAAAAGAAAAAGACAAAAAAAAATTCTGCACTTTCTCTTTTGTTTGTTTCACTAATAAGACCGTTTCCTGTGGACTACATGAGCGCTTTTGCACACCACACCCAACAAAACTGAACAAACCCTAAAGTTTGATGGTCCAGTAAGGACAAAAGAACACATGCAAAGTGCTTGTGGCTGACTGCCATTAAAGCTCCTTAACAGTTGTGTTTTGCGCATTGTTTGTGCAGAAACCAGAATCTTACCAAGCAACCCGCAGACGGGTGATGGGGCTTTGAATTAGGCCTCAAAGACCCCCCCACCTCAGGTTTTATGGGGACTTGTCTTAAGTCAATTCAGATGCGGCCGCAATAATCTAACACAGCATCAGGCAAGCAGGCGAGGGGCACTCAATGGAAAATGTGTGTTCGTATATACCTTAGCCTTACAAAGCTGTAATTAATAACATATATCAAATTAATTAATATCAAATGCTCAGTACATATTGATATTAGGTCACCTGGCTAAAGATGCTATGTTAGTTCCTGTTGTTTCCGTATATTTGCCTTCGATTAGATCGCGTAGATTTGTGGTTGGAGGTCAGAGCTAAACACTCAAAACCCACAGTGAGAATTTTTTATTTAGCTGAACTCTGATTGGTATATTATTGACGTATTAATGGGACATAATGGAAGCCATCAGTTTTAGGTCTCTGGTGTCTGTGACACCCAAGAGGACTGGCTGTGCACTGCGACATGGTGGTGATGTGACTCGGTCCCCATCAAGCACACGGTGACCACGATCATACATGTGCGCCATATGAAATGTTTTCCAAACATAACAGGGAAAGAATCAGAAGAGCAGATCGCTTCCATCTGTTTTGTGACATTTATGTCTCAATGCATTTGGAAAGTTTCTGCGTTTCCTGCTGCACAACACTAGAGTTCATAGCGAACAAGCTCAGCGCTGCAGAAACATCTGGTAATTGTACTATACTGCATATACATGTATATCTTTGATATATAAAGAATCATCCTTCTTTGCATACTATACACTGATGATTAGTCTTAATTAAAACCATGCAGGACCATGTGATGGTGTAATGCTTCACTGTGCTCACCATCTCACTTTAGCCTGTTAGCATGCTAACACACAACCACGTGCAAAGGACAGCTGAGTCCGCCGAAGGGGCAGAGCATCCGTAGAGCCAAGAAAAACCTATCACCTACATACGGGAGCACAAATGAGTACTTGCATTGCAGTGTTTCCCCCACCGTTAGAATGGGGGTAGTGCCAGAACAGAAGTTATTTAAGGTTACCTTCCCGCCCCAATGCGCACACACAAACACACACTGGGGCACGCACTCCCACCAAAGGACAGCGAGTGTGCATTGTTAAGTGGCAATTGCATTTGCGTTTACCATCATTTCATGTCTGTCTTCAGATTAAGAGCCTCATGACCAGAGCTGAATACCTCAAAAAGCACATCAAGGTAAGCACGCGCTCCTCGCCGCCGTGTGTCTGATTTCCAAGATATGGGCAAGATTAAGACTTTTTTTTTTTTTTTGTTGATATTATCAAATTATTACTTAACGTTGCTGATAATGTTCAATGGAAAAAAACAACCTTATGGTCGCCATATCTGCACGCAATGTCCGTGTCTGTTCGTTGTCCTGGGTGACCCCAAAGCGTGTGATCATTCATCAGATGCAGGAGACTCAGAGGGATGCGTCTCTGGACCGAGAACATCTGGCGGACTCCGTCCGAGGCTGTGAGTTTCCCTGCTGCCTTGTACGCGTGGAGTTGTGTTATTGAGGAGCTTGCTGTTGCCTCGCTGTGCGGCGCTTTGTTACAGGAAAGATGGTGGTGGTCGTGAGTAAAGTTGCGATGAGACGTCCTCGTCATTAAAGCTTTTTCACTTGTAAAATATGAGCCATTCTCTTGCTGTGCCGGCCGCCCCCCCCCAGCACTGTCTGGCTCTTTGATTTCCAGTCAGAGCCGCCCGGGGCTCCTCCCGTCCTCTCCCCTCTTGTAAAACGCAGCCTAGTGAAAGTGCTGAGTCGCTGTATCCTAAACACAAACGCCAGAATCCACAGCACTCACGTCCACTTCATTCCTCTCACGTACACCCACGTTAGCTCTAAACACTGCAAGAACCCGGGTTCATCCAGTGAATATCAAATGTGTCCTACACAGGCCAAAAAGATACTGAACGGTATAAAAAGGAAAAATGACTTTTTAATATACTTGAACTTTCCCACAGCTTAATTCTCAGTGTTTTCTGGGCTCAGCTTCCGTGGATAGTGGATACCTAAAGCCCAGACAATATCCTGTCCTCTGCAAGGAATCCCTGGGGAATTATATGAATAAAAAATAAATAAATAACACAAAAATGGGGAAGGGGCCACTTAAACCCCAGAGGCCTCAGGTTTCATGAAGAACGTGGCGTCTTAATGCCTTGTTGTTTTAATAAAACCACACCACAGTCGGCCGCACTGAGAAGCGTCATAGCAACGTCTGTCTTCACACTGCCCCGATCCACGCAGCAAGCTACGCAAACGTAGATCACATGACGATTAACATACACTGGCCGCACAGTGTAAACAGGAAGAAGAATATACACACGGCCACGTGATGCGAGTGTGACGAATCATGGAAGAATACGTCACGGCGGCTAAGATCACATCAAGTAGCGAACGGCGGTGCGGCCGTGATCGTCTCTGAACGCATCTGTTTCCGACCGTCCACATGAAGACAAAACCCCTGTGTTTTTCTTTGCGTGAATGTGGCCGTACACCAGAACCTTCAATTTCCTGAAATGGAAAGGGAAACTGACGCGGGTGACCTGCATTCTTTCTAATGGCCACAAGGGGGCAACAACAGCGTTGTTCCCTCAGTAAACATTGCAAACACGCGTTTACGGTCTCAAGCTGTGGTTTCTAGTCGTCTTAAGGCTGGCGCGTGCTTCTGCGTCTTTACGCACCGCTGTGTCGACGCACTCGTTTCAATTCATGGTTCTGCGTGTGTTGCAGAGCAATTCACCGCCAGAACAACAGGCAGAGTAACGTGTTTCTGTTGAAGACGACCTAGAGAGTCACGTCTTTGAGTGTGGAAGTCGTTGGTTTATTTATTTATTTATCATAGACTTTATTGCCCCGTGCATCGCCACTGCTGCTTTTCATCGCGGACACATTTGTCCCGTATTTTCCTCCACAACCGACGTTTGTGGAGACAAAAGTTCTGATTCATTGTCTCGTAAACATTCTTCGTTTTAATAATGGCGGTATTGCGCTATGAAAACTGAAATGTGAGACTTCGGAAAGGATGCAGTTAGCAGACCAATCACAGCAGCGGGGGGCTTGCGTCGCTTTTGACGCTAGTCTAGAAAAATGGGTCGACGCACGCAAGGAGGCGTGAAAAGACACGCAAGGGACACGCAGGGGGCTCTTGCGTCTGGTGTCCCTTGCGTCTCTCTGAAAACGCAGAAGCATACACTAGGCTTAAGAAACAGCGCTGTGTTTATTTAGTAAATGATGGTCCATTTGCAGAAAAAATAAAGCAGGGTTCACTTTGGGGCGTGGTTAACTTCGCTGCCACAGCGTTGTCCGTCTGGAAGTCACAGAGTCGTGTTAGTCGGATCATTCAAAGCATGTAATCTTATAAATAAAATAAAAAGGGACCCCTAACAAACCATGTCGTCTGTTTTCTCAGCTTGCTGTCTGCAGTAAACTGCACGGCCACCAGGGGAATCTGGGCCGGGAGCCCGAGCGGAGCATCACGCTGCCTTCACCTGACCAGGTTTCTGTCGGGGCCAAACTACACCCTCATCACGCCTCCCCTTCTCCATCTCCCCCCTCATGCACTCCCCCACTCGCTGTCCGGGTGGGATGTCACAGCTGCCAGCCCCATGCAGCCAATGTTCCGGTTGTTACTGGCACGATGATCATTTGGCGGGTTGTGAACTTGTGTTTATACTGTGCAAAGGAACAAAGTTTGCATGTTAAAATACTGAAAGTAGCTCTTGATTTCTAGATTTGCACACTGGTGAATGTGAGAGCTTCCTGCTCTTTCCCCGGCTCAGGCCTCCATCCCTCCTCCCCACACGCCATTCATATGTAAATGTCCGACAGCTTGTGTGACAATGCCACACTGTCATGGTAAAACGAGTCAACACACAGGCTGTGGCATTTATTGCCGCGAGAAAAAAAAAATACAACAACCGAAAAAAAACAGTCATCCGGCCCTGGAAAACTGTGGAACCCGTCGGCAAAACACAATCAAATGGAAACTGTGGCGTGATAAAGCGTCGCGCCGCTGCTGGAGCGCCGCGTGGGGTACATTGCACATTGAGGCCTCTGCAAACACGCACGTACTCCCCCCTCCTCCCCCCTCACCCCCTCACCCCCTCGCTCCCCCGTCCCCGCTGCCTTTGCTGTGGGCGGACCGCAGGCTCACCATCCTCTCCCCGCTGCCGGAGCCCTCTCCACCACGATGAGGGGAAAACTGGAGAGGTGCGGCCTCGGCCTTATTTACACTGGACTCGCATTTTCTTAGGTTTGGCACCGGCCGGGTATGTGAGGGAACCGGCGGGTTGGGAAAGCCTTCATAACTGGGCCTCTGTGAGAGGGGAAAAAGAGGCTCAGCAGTCGCTGTTGTAGGTCTTCACACACACACACACACACACACACACACACACACACACACACTGTTTTGATTTCAGACAAGTAAAGTGCATGAACACCAAGAAGAGCTTTAGTTTTGGGACGGCAGGAAGTCAAAAGGAGCAAAATGTGTCTGCTGATTCTCCAAATCACTGTGTTGTCTTGTTTTTTTGTGTGTGTTTATACAGCTGTGATTTTTATATTGTATGTATTTATTCAATGGGAGATTCAGTGGAAAAATAAAACCTCCGCAGCGTGTTTTTCAGCAGCGTCCAGGTCGGTCTCCCAGAGCTCATGGAAAGATTCATGTGCTGCCGTTGGTCCCTCGTCATCATCTGGACGGCAGCTCGGCAGGAGCAGCTGGCTCGTGTCCACGGAGGGGGTGTATGGACGTTGTTAATTGTATGATTCATTCAGAAGTTCTGTAGAATTGTGAAAACTGTAGAAGCTACACCAAGAATTCAATAACAAGTACATACGTTTAATATATACTTACTACTGCAGTTGCACTTTTGATTTTGCTTATTTTGTTCTCCAGACGAGAGGAAAGTACGGTGGAAATAAAGCTTCTACAAACAAACTGAAAAGGCAAGAAAAGTAAACCCTTTTTGAAAGGTGGTGGAACCTTGAATTAAATCCACCAAGAGGAGAAATGGTCAAAGACATCAAACAAAGTGTTTGAATTTAAAGGTGCACTTCATTTTAGACACAAACGTGAGTTTAGTCACGGTTAGTCCCACAGCTAACATCAAATCCACAAATATATCCCAAAGGGAAACAGACGGTCCGATTGCCTCTCAACACGGCGGCTCCAGTAGCTGCGTCGGGGTCTACTCAAAGCGGACAGTTGCATTATGGGAAATGTAGGGGCAGTTGAGGCTCAAACCAAATTGTTTTGACCATTACTTTTTTCTATAAAGTGTTTTATGTGAGTCCATTTGCATTATGAGTCCTTCAAAATAGTGACTCAAGACGAGTTAAGATGGGAAAATAATTGGTTGGTTACCCCCCCCACCAAACCCCCCCCCAGCTTGTGGCTGTAGTTTTCTGAGGTTTAAACGGTGGTTGTTGGTGTTTCTGCCCCACCAGCTGGTTAATCGCATTCACCCCGGCCTGCCAGGTGTAAATCACTCCCTCACTGTCTGCTTAAACCAGGGGGCAGCAGGTCATGGTGCATCAGGCCGGGGGGGGCGACACTGCTCCAATTGGCTTACGGGGCCCATTGTTCTGGCCCGGCTTGGTTCCTTTAATCATGACATGAGCATGTTGCTGCCAGGGAAACTCGGGATGCAGTTTTGACCCCGGTGCTTTCTTTGTTGCTTGTTCCTGGGAGTTCTGCCAATTCCTTTTACAGTAATGCAACCCATGAGGGACGTACAAGCCCCCCCCGCCCCCCCGAGTCTCCTCTCCATGACCACAACCCACGGCATTGTGGTTGCAATGAGCCTCCATTTTGCTTCAGCTCCATCAACACCACTGATTGCGCTCTCCCCTTCCCGGCTTCCTCTCTGCGTCTCTCGCTCTCTGGCTGCCGTCAGCGGGACGGCGGCGGGGTCGCGTTGGCGCCGGTGTCGCCCCCACAAAGAGGACCCTCTTGTGTTCTAGACCTGAAGGGAACCAGGGTGCCCTTGACTCCGGCACCCCCCGCGCCGAAGGACCCGGAACAGGTCAGCTGATCGCTGCGGCTCAATTGGGCCCGATATGATGGGCACATTGTACTTTTTGGGGGGAGAACAAAAGCTTCCAAAACCCCGAGTTCACCCCCCCCCCCCCCCCCACTTTGGAGCGAGACTGTGATGGGGTTTGGGGGGGGTTTGTTAGAGACACGTTGAATAAAGATAATTTAGAAAATGGGCTCCAGCACAGTGCTGCCTCTGTGTCCCCCCTTCACCCCCTGTTCCCTCCACACATTCGACTCCCCCAGGCTCCTCTGCTCGTGTTTGTTTTGATTTTGCTCCCAGAATCAGAGGGAGAGGGGGTTCGAACGGGGGGTGCTGATTATGTTGGAGGGCTTTAAAGGGGCATGGCAATGGTTAAGACAGATTAGCGCAGAACAACAATCCCGCTAAACTGGAGGGCGTCGTGCCGTCGCCGAGGCCCAAGGCCCGCTTTGTCTTTCTCCGTCTCGCCGTCCTCCAGGACGCAGTGTGGACGGTCGGAGGCTCCCGGAGGGATTCCTGTGGTTAGCGGTGGAGTCAGGACAAGCTGTGCAGAAGTCGCCCCCGGGCTTGAAGATGTTGACATTTGGCACCTGTAAGCCAAGTCACATGTGGGTCTATTCTGTCACGCAATGCTCCGCTCACGGGGGTTATTTCTATTAAAGTATGGTGGCAAAGCGGTGACGGGTAGAAATGGAAAACAAGTGAAAATATTTGTAAGTGTCTGAGGCATTTTTAACAGAGTGAGTTCCTTCTCGCCCAACACACTTTTCCCCCCCTCTCACTTCGTTAATGATTTACTCTTAAATCTCCACTTCTGAATGTGACCAAAGTGGTACCAAACACCTGTTAATGACTTGTAAATACCAAAGCGAGTGTTGAACAAGCAGCAAATGGCCGTTTGCTCCGGAACATTTGGTTCACGACAGGTTTCGCCCAGTAATGTAACATCTCAAAGTCCTGCTGACACCCTGGCTGAATGGCCTTTACCCTCAAAAAATGACAGTGGTTTAATTACTTGAAACTAAATTGAATAGAACCCAGAATTGTGCTTTTTGCTTCAAGCAAGACCTCTTAAATTCCTCAGTGGGTTTGAGTTACACCGACCGAACCCCCTAAATATCAGACGGGGGAGACGTGGCCGCATTCTGGGCCCACTTGAGAAAACCCCTCTCAGACTGTAGCTTCTGCTTCTGAGACATCTGCAGACCGTGTCCTCTGCTTTGGAGGCTTTCAGATCTCACAGCGTAGTGCTGCACTCCAGCCGATCTACGTACCTTCTCTCTTGATCTCTTTCTGTGGTCGAAATTAATCACAACACCGCTTGACTTCATAAAGATTTTATTCAACCGTCCCACATGGAAGACACTGCTGTGAAGTAGGTAAGATGGAAAAGAGCTAAAGGATCATGTGGATCTACGTTGGTGTGTCCGTACTGTGTCGGGGGCGTACAAGTGACCGCGTTGGCTTACTTTACTGCATGAAACTGTAAAACAAGTACACATTCATAATCTAGCTTCATAATTTAACGTTTAGCAAACATTCTTTGTGACGTTGTGACGTTACAAGCGATCGTTACTGACAAAAACATTCCCTTTTTTGGCTAAACGGCTAAAAGCGAAGGAAAAAAAGGCCATTAGTGACACGCTGCCGGTTCGAATCCCTTTGCTGGACCTCGGGTAACATCAGCAGCACGTGTGATGCGTTTGACCTTTTGGCTCTGGCAGCAGACAGCTTTCTCCTGGCTTGTAGTAGTAGTGGGGGGGGGGGGGTGAAGGCGTGAAATGGGGCTGGGTGTCTGTCTCAGGAAAAGTTCAATAAAACATCTCACACGGTGGGGTCGGGGGGTCGAGGGGCAGACGGAGTGGCTTCAGTTAACTTAGGTACTTGATCCCACAACCCTCGTGGTGCCGCGTCCTTTCACTGCTACTCCTACAAATATTTGAAGTGCGGCCGCTGCGACAATGCTGACCCCCCCCTTCGCCCCTGTAATAGAGAGCAGAGCAAACACGGACCCGGGACGGGTCCAATGTTTGTCCAAGGTCTTAATGGAGCCACACTCCCAAGTACCATTGAAACCAACCCAAACAAACAGGGAGCTGCTCAAAGGCAGCTCCACTCAGCAACAAGTCCGGCAGGGTTCACGTCCTCGGATCTTCACCTGGTGATACAAAAAAAAAGAGCAGGCGTTTCACCCAGTGGGAGATGCTCTGTGAGACCAATTACTCTGCATATTGTACGGTTGTGGGACGCACGCGCACATCACTGCAGAGTGTCAGGGAGGCCTTTAGGGTGAAGTAGATAGCCGCCGTCCCCCACCACCCTCTAAGTCACCAATTCCATCCCAAATCTCCTCTGCTCACCGGGAGGGGCAACATCTCTCTTCATAAATCCAAAAAGTGTTGCATTGTCTCAGAACAATATCCGTGCCAGGGGAAGAAACAGGAGCGCCGCGCTGCCGGGTGACCTCTGGGAAGCAGAGCACAGATCGGAAAACTCCTCCTCCCCGTCACCTTTAGGGTCATAGTCCTCATCCTCATAGAGGTCATCCACATCCGGCTGGTCTGAAATGCCCGCGCGGTCCCCTATGGCGCACAGTTTGCTCATGTTCTCCTTCACCACCTCGCAGAAGGGCCTCTCCACGCCGTCGCACACGCAGCGGTTCAGCAGCGCGCCGTTGGGGATGAACAGCATCTGCTGGATGGTGGCCTTGCACTTGGACGAGCACTTGCGGCCGTTGAACAGCTGGCCGCAGTACGACAGGTAGGCCGCGAGGGAGGCGTGGCAGTCGCCGTCCTCCTCGCAGCGCTGCCGGGCCTCCATGCAGCCGATCCCGCCGGCGTCGCTCGGGTGGCGGCGCGGGAGGCACGGCTCCACGGCGCGCTTGGCGCCGAGGCACTCCTGGTCCCGCGCGCAGTCGCAGGTCTCCAGGTCCGGCCCGCCGCGGGTGTGGTTGAGCCGGATGAGCGCGTTGATGCAGTGGCTGGGACACTGCCTCCTCGTGCCCCGGATGTTCCCCTCACAGGCCGCCAGGTACTGGCCGTACGCGAGGTCGCACTGGGGCTCCTCGTGGCACCGCAGCAGCGCCCGCCAGCAGATGAGCTGAGCGTCCAGGGCCACCAGCACCCAGGGGAGAAGTGCCAGGGCGCCGCACCAGCATCGCATGCTTGGGTGGTGTTGCAGCTCGGCTACTTGCACGTTCTCCGCCAGCACATTTAGGATCGGGGACGATCCGGACTGGAGCTCGGAACTGTTCCGCACACGGGACGCGTAGAGAAGAGCGCACGCGGTCCGTTATGAATGTTCTCCCGAAACCTCCGATGAGTTTTCCTCCTCTTTGCAGGGAGGGAAGTCGCGATCTGACTGAGGGAAACCACAATGCGCCGCTGCGACAGAGGGAAAAAAAAAGGAAAAAGTAATTCCGGGAAAGTTTGTTCAAAAGTTGGCGACCATTGTCCGGCACTTAGCGGCTACAGCCCTGTCCTCTGCGCGGTCCACTGGCCGGTCCACTGCCCTGTCCTCTGCGCGGTCCACTGCCCTGTCCTCCGCGGCGCAGATCTCCCAAGTCACCGCAACTGTCTCTAAACCTGCCTGTGCGACTCTGTGGACCAACACTCACGTGTCCCCCCCCACGCAGCTCTGCCGCCTCCAGCGGGACTTGAATGCGATGTCCCTTTTGCTTCTTGTAGTTCTTTCTATTTTTGTTTTTTTCTCAGGTTTCTGTCTGTCCCGCAGTACGTGTGTCTTTGTCCCTCTTCTTGCTGCGACGCGTCACAGTCCGCCGAGCATTCCCCCTCCCCAAAAAACACCCCTCCTTCTGCTGAAAGAAAGACGCCCCCCCCCACCCCTCTCTCTCTCTCTCTCTCTCCGTGGCCACTGATTGGTCCACGCACGAGTCCGCCGTGGGACCCGTTAGTCGGTCTGCAGCTCCTCCGCGAAGAGATGGAGCGAATGTTATTTCTTGCATGAAACCCCGGACCCGTGTGGTCCCCTCTCCTCCTGTAGCAATAACACAAGTGAAACGAAATGGTGTGTGTGTGTGTGGGGGGGGGGGGCAAACATTCCTTGCATTGCATTCCTTTGCAAGAAACTTCACTGCTCCCAATTTTCAGCGACAGAAAAACAACAACCTACTTATTTATTTTTTCGTTGCCACAAACTGCTTCGCTGTTGAGAGGTTTCGCTGTTGAGTGCCCGATAATTGCCCCCCCCCCCACACACACACCATGCATCTCATTCTGCACTCGATTGATAGAAAGAATGGAGGAGGGAGAATAGTATTTTCTGGACCGTTTCACCCCAATTGTGTGAGCTTGGCCATGCAGCGGTCCAGTGTCTCTGCAACCCCCCCCCCCCCCTCTCCATCCACCCCTATCCCCCCCCCCAGCCCGGCCTGCAGATTGTCCTGCACCGAGGCCCATCAATGGAGAGGCCTCCGTATATTTTACAGCGAGCCCCTTTCACAGCGCACTTGAGAACTACCAAGCAGCTCTCTGATGGTAACTGAGCGGGTTACTCCACCAGAACCCTACAGGATAAGAGTCTGTACCCGACTGCATTTCTCCCTCTTAACAATGTTGCACATCTGAGGTCACACGGTCAATAGGAAGTAGCTTCATTTCAGTCTCCTGAGGGCCACGGGACCCCCGGATCATATTATAAGCAATGTTATAAGTATGTAAATGTCAATCTAAATATGCCGTCGTGTTTTCCTTTTGGGTAAACCACTTAAAGGTGCAACATGCTGTTGGCATTAGTGTCACGTGGCTACATTTCATATGTTAGCTAACGCTATGTCTTAAAAAGAAACTGCCATCTTCCATCCAGAAACATTGTGGATCTTTTTAATTCCAACGTCACATTATTTACATTTCAGTCATCGTGGAAAAGGTCATCAGTCAGTTGTGTATTTTGTCTCCACCTGGTGTTCTGGTTGCTCCAAATCTCAAGACTGGCCACACACACACACACACACACGGAAGAATCACAAAAAACTCATAATTCTAAAAATCTGTTTATTGCCGTCAAAACAAAAGCAAATCACGGAAATGCTTTCAGGGACAGAATGATAGAGGTACTGTCAAACAAACAACGAGACACAACTGCGTGTCATGGCAGCCATTTCCTGAAAAAAATAACATTTCCACAAGATGACAACACACAGAAAATTACATTTGTATATTATTATTATTACTGAATTATTATTTCAAGTCACACACACACAAAGCAAAACGGTTTTCTCTATGGCTTCTGTTCCATCTATCGATATTAGTCTCACGATTCTAGTAGCTCGGTTATAAAAGGAAGTTATTGCAATTATTCCACCATCCTATTTTATTGAAATGTTACGAATATATTGTTCACCTCTCACGCGACAGCAAATGATTGGCCTCAGCAGCACAAACATCAGCACAAACACCTTTTGTTGCCCATAACTCCTTTAAATTAAAAAGATCCCTCTCAAGATGCAAAATTCGTGCAACCTACAAAGCACCTGAAAGGTGCTGACGTCGAAGCTGGCATTGCCACCGCCACCACGGCTACATTAAAAATCAAACACTGTCAAAAATGTAGCTTACGTGGCTGTAGCACAACATCAACAACACCCCCCCCCCTCTCTCTCTTTGATTGGCTCACGTTTGGCTAGAAACCAACAAAGACAGAATAGCGAGTTACAGAAGACACCACTGGACGCATCACACTGGCTAAACAACACGAATCCACCAGCACACAACACGGCACCACTGGGATGGGGTCAAAAGGTCAACACGGCGCAGAGCGGACACCTTTTACACTCACACAACATGGATACTTGTATGTGGATTTATACTCACGCCACAGTTACACATGTTTGACATATTTGGGGCCATTTTCTTTGATGTTGGACAAAGTATTTTCAATACTTTTAGTATATTTTGGCATAAGACTTCTAAAGCGTTTACATGTCTCTCATCTGAACAGCTCCCCCCCCCTTTTTTTTAAAAGGACAGTTCACCTGAATATCAAAAATGCACACTTTGACTATTTCCAGTGGCGTTATTTTTCAGCCTGGATTGTTTCTGGATGAGTTGTTGAGATATCCCAAAAAAAAAAAAATTAAATCAACAGACATCACACCAAATATGTGATTTTATATTTTGAGGTGAATTGTTCCTTTAACTTTTGGATGCAGCACAAACACATATTTACTCCCCTTGTAGTTGATGCTAAATTCAGTATTGGAAGGACAGTAATTGTAACTGTGAATTTAAATACAACATCAAAAATGCAGCACACAGTTCCTGATTGCTCATAAATTATTTGCTGCTCTTCATAGAAGCAAAAGTAAAAAAATCAACTGCAAAAAAACGAGCAGGCCCTTAAAGTAGCTTATAGATGTCTGAGCTCTGGAGAAAATAACCTTGCACAGATTTCCAAGACACACTAAAGTAAAAAAAATACTTTAAAATGAATAAAAGTTATAAGCATAGCTCTCAGAAAATATTAGAATTAAAATCAGTGAGCTACTCATGACAAAAACAGCCTCAGTTGTTGCTCCTAAATGATTTTGTGCTTTTGTAAGGGGAACACAAACAAGCCCACAAGACTTTACCGCAAATTCAATTCAACACAACACATACATGGCCTCCTCACGTGAGTGTGCATCACACACACACACACACACACACACACCTGCAGATTCCCATTGTGTTATCACTGGACACGTGACGTACGGAGTGCGAGGGGAAGGTTGGGGAATGAAGGGAGCAAAGCATTTAATGGATTCATATTTCTCAGAGGAGGAGTTGCTCGAAAGGCAGAATTAATCTCATCGGTTAAATCTCAATGGGAAGAGCCAAATAAATCTTTAAGAGTGCGGGTTGGCTAATTTTGAGAAAAACTCATTTGTTTCTTTGAGGATGTGTGAAGGTCAACAGGAAAGCTAACTGAACTAATAAGACAAACCCCTTCCTCTTCTCCAGGGTCCCCGTCTAGGCTCTGCCGACTGACACTCCCCTTAAAGCAATAAGAACCTTCAGAGCAGCTCTGCCTTTGAAAAATATTTGCCCAACTAAAACTCTAATCCCCCGGGATTTGAGAGTTTGGACGCATCACATGAGACTGCAGTTCTCCGTCTGCTTTTTGAGGTCTTCCAGCGTTGCCTGGGCTTTGTCCTTCAGCTGGTCCATGTCCACGTTCTGGATGTTGGTCAGCTGGCCCAGCACCGACTGCTTGTGCGTCTCCTCCTGGTTGTCCTCGGCGATCATCTTGGCCAGCTCCGTGGGCAGCACCACGTCGTCCCCCGCCTGCTGGATCTGGGTCTCGTCCAGCTCGTTCTGCGGGTAGAGAGGAACAAGACGTTAAGAACAAAATTCTTTTTTGATCCCGTTGTACTGCGGAGGCATGTTTAGTACACGGCTGAGAGGATATGAGTTTTTACATTTTTACAGCAAAGCAGAGCTGGCGTCGTCTACCTTTGGCAGTCTGTACTTGTCCCGGAAGTGGCTTCGAACGGTGGCTCTCTCCGCTTTCTTCTGGGCAAAGTCTGCTTCTCGTTCTTGTCTGCAAGACAGGAGCAACAGTATTGTTTTGGCCCCGAAAATGTCCTACAGTGAACATACAAACTTAAACACCCAAGGGATCCTCCAGAAAAGTGCCGGTAACTGCAAGAACCAAACGAGGACCATCGACTGTTCATAACTGCTGTGCACCTCTGCTTTAAGAACATCACGAGGCCCCTGCTGGATTTGCAGGCCTTGGAGCTGAGCATCTCCAAGTCCTCTCTGAAGTTCGAACGTCTGACCATCTGGGATTGAAACCCACATAAGAACCTCCTACTCAGTTTAAGGCAAAAACCATCTAATAAATGAGAGATGACTCTCCAAAGCTCTTCAGAATTGCTTTAAGTCAGACATCTGTCCTGGAGAAACGATGTGTTCAATATTCCTCCATCGGCCTGGTGCCGGCATTATGTGAGGCCTCCAGCAGAGGGCAGACTTTGAGCTGTAATGCTCTCCCCACTCTGTCCCTAGAAATATTTCTGTCTCCAGTTGTCCCTGGTAGATGGGTAAATGTGCTGGAATGCTTCTCAAAATCCGGAGTCAACGACGTGACACGGTGCTTAGCTGACTTGCTTGTGCGGCCCCCCGAGGGCCCGACTCAGCGCGCATACGGTGACCAAAGGCCGCATTTCACATGCTAATCAGTGAAGGTGCTTGGAACTAAATAAACACATTCGATCGTGTTCTTCAAAAGAAGACCGTGGCATTGCACGTGTATCAGCGGCGTCATCTAAAGGCGATGGGGGTGTGGGGGGGGGAGGGTTTGGCGGCGGAGGACCCGGGGGCATGGTTTTTAAGAAGTGTTTGCACCCGATGTGTCAGGAGGAAGGTCGTTCTATCTGGAGATGCAGCGTTTCGTGCCGCTGTCTGTGCGAGTTCACTTTGGTTGAACGTGAGCGGGGGGAAGGCCTGAAACGGGATCCCGGGCTGCGCTTGTCGCAGCCAATGAGTAGAGCTCTGTGTCTCCCTCCCTCTCAAGGGCGCCGGATGACCAGGGTTGTCACTGCGGCACCCCGGGTTGCTGAGGTTGATGGAATGTCTACATGTGACACGCCAGGGTGAGGAGCCCCCACCCCCACCACAATCTCCATCCGCTTTAAATCGGCGTAGTGTGGGCTTCCAATCTATAGGATCTAGTTTAGCACCTCAAACTAATCACTCACACCCACTGAAGGTCACATGACAGCAGATAGCTCTACAGGAGGCTCCTCGCCACGGCCTCCTGTAGAGCGCCGGGGGCCGAGCTGCATGTAATTCCTGCGTTGGGGACTTAGCTTCACTCAAAATGCCTACATGATAGTTTGTGTCGATTGGGAAGGATTGAAAACAGTTGGATAAATTGCGTCGCTGTAACGGAGAGCATGCATTGCTGCGTGAGGACGATTTGTGTCACGGCTAAAAATATTCTAACCAGCATTACTTTTTTTCTGTTAAACTCTTTATTCCACATCATTGATCCATGCAGCTTATTCTATGAACTGCATATGGCCTGATATGCGACGCCTGCTCCAAGGGAAGCGTCACGCTAATCAATAGTGAGATGCCGTCTGCCGGGTCAACTCTTGTCGGCCACAATGACCTTGTACTTCACATTGTCCACCCGGTGCGCCCGAGGAGATAAAACACCATGACAGTATGCAAATCAGGCCGAATTATCATGCAAAGTCACAGCCGCAGGTGAAGCACACAGCAAAGACTCATATATTTGATTATCTATAATTAGCCATATGTTTATCATTTTAAATTCAACACATCATCTTTTATATAATGTAAGGTAATTTAGGCGCCCATTTGGAATAGTGAAAACAACTATTCTTAGTGTTAGTTGTCTGTCGCCTGATGATATACAGCATTATTACTTCACCCCACTTTATTTAACAAACAATCTGGCGGATTATTCAGTTGTACGCACAGTTTAGCCCCAGGCAGCCATGGAATAATGATTCCAGGAATCCCAAATAAAATAAATAAATAATTAAAAAAACAAACTATGACAGACAATTAGCTGAAGCTGGGAGACGGAGAGTCCCTGGGCGAGAGGAGCAGCTGTGCGTGGAGCGCTCGTGTTATTGCATTCATGCGTAAAATGAAAGACAAAAAACGCGCAAGCGGCGCACTGGGAGCGCTCTGCTTATTTACACACACACACGCGCACTTTAAACATGCCGCCGCCCCTCTCTCTCTCATACACACACACACACACACTTTCTGTTTCATCATGACTTTGTAAACCACAAACAGCTCAAGTCAATGCCTTACTTTTCCTCCTCTAACTGTTGCTGGTACTGTTCGAATTCCTCTTGAGTCATCCCCTTCGCGGCCGCGTCCGTCTTCTCCGCTTCGGGTTTCTCCTCCGTCAGTCCGCCCGTCAGGTTCTTCAGCTGCCCCCCCACCACGTGTTTCACCATGAAAGCCATGGTAGCGCCTCTCGGAGATTCCTCTGAATTCTTTTGGGGTGGGATCGGCCGAGGAGTTGGAGGCGATACGCTCTTCGGGTAGAGCGGACCGCGGATGGAAATCCGCCAAGTGACGCTAAAAACAGAAGCGCGTGTAACTTTCACAGATAAAAACAAGAAGAAGACTCTAAAAAGGCTCTATGGGTGCAATCAAACCGTGATGGGGGGGGGGGGATGAGGATGGGGGGTTAAAAACGAGTCTTCGACGGTTTCAGCACCACTGGATCATGGACAGCTCCGCGCCGCGAAGAGACGGGAGGGAGAGCGCGCCCGGTTATGAGTCAGTTTGGCGCTGAACTCTACCAATCCGGTGACTGCGTCCGCCGCCGCCGCTCTCCCCGCCCAACCCACGCACCGCCGGACTACGTGTGTGTGTGCGTGTGTGTGTGTGTGTGTTTTTGCGTTTGCGTTTGCGCGCTCTTGTGGCGCGCGACGGAGCTGTTCCCGTGATTCGCCGTCTGACATTAAAGCATTAAAGTATGATGGAGGGCGCGCGGAAGGACCGGGAGGGGGGCACGTGACTCTTGATTTCTCCCGGCTGTTTTGGTGCCCGTGTCCCTCTCAGGGTCATCTGCGATGTCAACAGCTTTTCTAATTGCAAGCGAGTCCAATGGTTTGTGCATTGAGCCACTGGCATGCGTTTGGTTTGTGGGTCTAATCACTCAGAGATGATGAGTCTTTACTAGCAGGGCTTTGCCTACACGACGAGCTTGTTCTGAATTAAGAGAGCATGTAACAGCACCTCAGCCTCCGATCTAATGTAGTAAATATTCCTCACCCCCTGACGGAGCCGACAACCTAAAATTAGAAAATTTGCCTCCACTTGCATCACCCTAATACTCCCTGGTGACTCATGCATCTGTGGCACCCACAAGTGAGTTCATGATATTAGTGTCTCATGGTTATTAGGCCTCCTATAGGATTTGTCATGTTTCTGTGCATCTTCGATGGGTATAGAGGGGAAGGGAGGCAAATGGTTCCACTTTCATCAGGAGCAGATGATGTATAATTTCTTTTAAAAAAAAATACTGGGTGGTGGGTGACACCACGTGACGCATGTTCATGCTCAAGCAGTCTAACAAAATATGACCTACATTTGAGTGAATATTTTAAATCTCTCTGTGTGAAAAGGGAACAACTTTGGAGTCCTGATCTGATACCCCGTCCCTCCCGGTTCCTTGCGTAATCAGGAGAGATGAGGGGCATCTCAGTGGGGTTTTTGGGGCTTTAAAGGACACTGTAAGCCTTGCTTTGATTCCCACCGACTTCAAAGCTGCCATCTGCTGATTAGATGGAAACGTAACGCGAAGAATGAGATCTATACTCTAATCGGTCAAATTTAATAAAGTGAAAAGATTTGCCTAACTAGCATGTTTCAACATCAAATTATACCTTTTTCCGCTTTCGATTTGCACACGCGTCACCCTCCCCTCCCCATGGAGCAGGTCTCATGCACATATTCCTCTTCTTTTTTTTCCATACGGATTATCACTGAGCCTGACTACAGGTGCTCCAGCAGCCGGTTTGAAGGTGATCTGAGTGTCTCTCTCTCTCTCTCTCTCTCTCTCTCTCTCTCTCTCTCATACACACGTATGCATGGTGAAATCCATGCATTTCCGTAATGACAATGTTTTGGCCTTAGAGGGTAGGACAGAGTCCCCTTTCCCGTTCTTAAGCTGACGCCTTCTTCTAAAAAGTCTGGTTGCTACAACGCCGTTGTCCAGTCTGGGCGTTATCTGTTTTTTCACTGTAGAAATGTAACGCTTTCCCAGTGTTTTCAATTCATGTATATTTATAACATTTTTGGTCAGTTAAAGCGTTCAGTTGTTGTCACTTCTGGTTGCTAAAAAAACACGATGGCGAGGGCCAGAATGACAAACTCAAGGCGTGAAAAAGTGTCACCACGACAACGGGTGCCGCGATGGTGACTGTGTACACCCACATACGTTTGCCTAATCACAGTATGTGGCAGTAACATGAGACGCTCCTGGTCAAATACAGAACACATAACATTATCTACTGCACCTGATTTCCAAATAGGCAGATATCAATGCACCTTGGCTCCTGCTTATGCTCGGTAGTACTGCCTACTGTGAAAATAAAGATTCATATGTTATGCATACATGAAGTCATTTCTAATGCAAATCCTGCACACAGATGTTTACTGTAAAAGCACTGCATGGCTGCACACAAACCTGACATCCCTTTCGCTTACGGTATAACATCTAGCATAAAGCATCTGCAAAAGCATCTTTTCTTACGTTTCCCTGCTTGGTCAAAATTCTCATGGGTGAAAATAACAGATTGTGCGTGCTCAGTGGGGTGGGGGGAAATTTGGCATTTGAATAAAAAAAACAAGGGGGTAATGTTTGAATCAAAAGGTTACGGGAGTATGACATACTGTGGTGTGTTGCGAGGCAGGAGGAGGGATCACAGCGTGAGTCAACGCGCGCCGAAAGCTTTACGCTGGCTGCCGCCCAGTCACACTTCTAGCCGTGTTTCTCTTCATCTTCTGGGATTAGGAGCCTGTGTGGGATTGGGAGAGATGGGTTTATGTACACCATCACACATTCAGTCCCTCGCACACACACACACACACACACACACACACACACACACACACACCTCTCAGTAGCTTGAGACCTTTGTTTCTTTAGTCAGAGAATTATACCAGTGGTGGCTGGTCCATAGACGGCCACGGGGTCTGGCCCCACCTTGAGCCACAAAAAATAGATATATTAAAAATGTATATTTAAAATGTAATATATGTGTATTTGTGTTTTTGAAATATGGAATACACCCAGTAATATTTGTAAAATAAGATATCTGCGCAAAATATATGGTTTTCCTGCACGTCCTGTTTGCATGTCTCAGCTGGGTTCGGGCCGGGCCCAAAAGAGGCAGGTCTTAGAAGCAGTTTAGCCAATCACTGATCAAAGATATATGAGTGACAAATTATTTAGCCAATCGGCGTACCTTAAATAGATTCAGCCTTGGGACCCGGCTACAGATACGGAAGTAAAGGACATGAAGAATATAAAAAATAAAATAAAACGATAGAAAGCTCCAGGACACACACGAATAACTCGGTCAAGCTCGCTGTATCAGGAAAACATCGCTACCAAGCTGGACGATGGACACAGGCTCGCTGTAAGGAAACACAACTAGGATGTGGATGAAAACAGGCACAGTTCATCAAAAATAATTGATAGTGTGAAGTTTTGTGGGGCTTTTGAGTTGGTCGTTCACCAACAAACTGGGTTCATAGCGGCGTCTTAATATATATACACGCAACTTCTATTTTATATAAATATATTTATATTATATGATATTTATTATATGATATTCATCATTTATATTGCATATTTATAATATTTACAATATTTTATTTATATCATATACTGAATATATATATATGTATATATATATATATGTATATATATATATGTATATATATATATATACATATACCACTTTACACACCGCTATGCTAAGCTGCTAACCCTGCGTGGCACACGGTCTGAACAGGACCATCACTGTTGCCCTAACAGACAGTGGTTTGAAAAACGTCCTGTCTAAATGTCAGGAGATTGTTGGCATTTTCATCACAGCCGTCAAATGATGGAGAGTTGAGAGCACAGCAAAGTGCACGAGGACAACAGGTTGCTGGTTCAACAAGTTCCACTTGGTGGAATTCTGCCTCCAAGATGATCAAACGTGCGTTTTGTGTTTAAAATAACAATTAAGAATTAATTAATACGATTTAAACAACACTGTCTAAAAAATGTGACTTAGTCTTTAGAAAAAAACCCACCCTTAGCTGGGGTTAATCATGATTAATGAATTTCAAAATGTGCAATTAATTAGTTCTTTAAAAAGAAATCTATCAACAATCATATGTACAGTATATATATGTATGTATGCATGTATATATATATATATATATATATACATACTCAATTGTATGAATGTCCTTATTATGTTAAACTGTTGGAATAACAACAAGATGTTTATATTTAACTGCAAAGTAATAATGCGTGTACTGGGATGTTTGCTGAAACTGATTGGGTGACCCTACCAAAGAAAAATCCACCAGCCGCCACTGGATTATTCTCATCAAACAAATGTGCAGCAAACAATAAGCGCATTCAGGGAGGCTTTTTTCCTCCCTTTTTTAATTTGCAGAGACAGCGATGACGCCATTAGCAAGTCACTGTAATGTCTGCTTTAACAAAAGCAGATTGCAAGCACCCCCCCACCCCCCCCCACCCCCTGAAAAGTAATCTTGACAACCAAGTTTGAGAAAAAGCGTCTGAGGATATTTGGATAGGCGGAGACTTTGATTCGTTTCCCCGCCGCGTGGGCCCCCTCGAACAGAGATGGAACGGACAGCCGGGGCCGCAGCGGCTGCTCGGCGCCATACGGCGGGAAGCGAGTCACCCCAGCGGTGGTGGTGTGACGTCCCGTGGGCTGTCCGGGAGGGGTTGACCTACACCGCATGCCAGCATGGCAACTGTCCCCCCCGGCAAACATCAGCAGCTTCCCGCCTGAGCTGAATATTGTGGCCCTGCGGCGGAGCGAAGACCCTTTCAACTTTTGACATTTGAAGCTGCAATAAAACCAGGTCCGAAACCTGTTCAGTGCACTTGTTGCCAGTAAAAAGCCCGGCCCAAAAACACACACAAAATACCCCATCATACAGATTTAATTACATTGTATTCCCAGAATAGATATAGCTAAACCACCAGAGCACACTGTCTCTGTGATGGAAAGTAGTTGAAAAGTGTTCACAGGGAATTCTGTGGATTATCCAGCGTAACGTTTCTGGAAGACATGTTGCTGTTAAATAAACAAAGTGTTCATTCATGTCATGAAATGACATTCATTACCACATATGAAATGCCTTTTGATGAGTAATAGTCTATTTAAGAAAATGCTTTTTTAAATTACTTCTCAACATCCCGGCGTCAAAGAACAGCACATGAATTAAAACGTCCATTTTACATCCGCCTTAGTTTGGTGAGTTTGCTCATAACAACCGCTTCTATAAAGTGTTCTAATGTGTCTGTGGCCTGCCTGGTCAGATTTACACAAACATACACAAAAACAGAATAAAAATGCCATTGCATGAAAGGGTATAAAAATGATATAGCATGTCATAAAAATCATTAATATGGTGTATCATAAAACACACTGAAGGGAGAATAAAACAGTGTTGTAGGATCACCTCTATTCTATCCTCTTCTCTTACATCACTTTGTGAGAGGCGTGACGAGGCCGCCCTGCGCACCCTCACCTGCATACTCAAGGA